TGCAGAACGTGCAAACCGCACAATAACAGAAAAAGCTAGAAGTATGCTTCAGGAAGCAGAGCTAGATGAAAAGTTCTGGGCAGAGGCGGTGAACTACGCTGTGTATTTAAAGAATAGATCACCGACCATTGCAGTTAAAGGTAAAACGCCAGAGGAAGCGTGGACTGGAAGGAAGCAAGACTTAAGCATGCTACGAATTTTCGGATGCAAAGCGTTTATTCACGTACCAAAAGTAAAACGGACGAAATGGGACGCTAAATCTAAAGAAATGATTCATGTAGGCATCTGTGAAGAATCGAAAGGCTACCGCTTAATAGACCCAATAACTAATCATTTAAGCAAGGCCAGAGATGTTGTATTTTTCGAGAACGAGAATATAAACTGTAAGCAAACAGTTGAAAGAGTTGAGAAGTCAGCACCGCTTAGTTTTAAGGATAACGTCACAGAATATGAAGATCACATAGAAGTTCAAGATTTTCAAAGAGATCAAATTGAATCGGAAAATGAACCTGTAAATATTGTAAGTAGTAATGATGATGATATTCTGCATGAGAATTTAGAAACAGAAACAAATGAAGAGAGTTCTGTTACAAGAAGATATCCTTTAAGAGATAGAAAGAAGAAAGCGATACCTGACTGCATTACATATCACACAATAGCTGATTGTGATGATCCGCAGAGTGTGGATGAGGCATTGTCTAGAAGAGACAAACACTTATGGAAAGCTGCGATCGACGAGGAGCTTAATGCACTCAAGAAAAATAAAACATGGAAATTGACGTTACCTCCAGAATCTTGCAACGTCGTTGATTCTAAATGGATATTTAAAATCAAAGAAGAGGCAGGGGGAAATAAGAGATACAAAGCACGCCTAGTTGCAAGAGGTTTCAGCCAGAGGCATGGAATAGATTATTTTGAGACATTTTCTCCAGTTATTAGACATAGCTCTTTGAGGACATTGATTGCATTGGCAGCTCATATGAATCTTAATATAGACCACATGGACGTGAAAACCGCATTCTTGAATGGTAACTTGGACGAGGTGGTTTATATGAAGCAACCAGAGGGTTTCGTTGAAAAGGGAAAGGAGAATTATGTGTGCCAGTTGCAAAGATCATTGTACGGACTTAAACAAGCTCCCAGAGCATGGAATAAAAAACTTCATTTGGAATTGCTGAAACTTAAATTCAAGAGGTCTGAGTATGAACCATGCGTTTATATTAGATCTACAGGAGATAAAGTAATTATTCTTGCCATATATGTAGATGACATTTTATTGTTCTGGAATAATGTTGAGGAATTAAGGAAGGTTAAAACCGATCTCACAAACAAATTTGAGATGAAGGACCTTGGCACAGCGAAGTTGATGTTGGGAATACGAATAGCACAAGATAGTGAAGGGATCAAACTGGATCAGAAGGGATACATAGAGAAGGTTATTCGTACATTTGGAATGGAGAACTGTAAACCAGTTGCTACTCCAGCAGTACCAGGACAAAGGCTAGAGAGGCCACAGCTTGATCAAGAACTTGATGAAAAAGTACCGTATCGCGCATTGATTGGTTCACTGATGTACCTTGCTGTTTGTACGCGCCCTGACATAGCACACACAGTAAGTCAGCTCAGTCAGTTTAACAACAGCTACGGAGACGAGCATTGGATAGCTGCAAAGAGAGTGCTCCGCTATTTGATGGGAACCAAGGATCTAGCATTATTCTATAGAAGGGGAAACCAAAATGAGTTTGTATTAGGTTATGCTGATGCAGATCACGCCGGAGACTTTGATAGAAGATCAAATTCAGGTTGGGTATTTTTATCTCAAGGAGGAGCTATTTCTTGGGAGAGCAAGAAACAACGTACAGTGGCAATATCGTCTGCAGAAGCTGAGTATGTAGCGTTATCAGAGGCTGCAAAAGAGGCAATTTTCATTCGCAGGTTTATTGCAGAATTAAGAGATGGACCCAATCCCGCAATCTCAATTTTCACTGATAGTCAGTCGGCTATGGCAATTGCTAAGAATCCTGTACATCACCAGCGTACGAAGCATGTGGATGTAAGATATCACTTTGTACGTGAGGCGATTGAGAATGGTGACATTCATTTGAGGTACAAGGAAACTAATAGAATGACAGCTGATGTTTTGACAAAGTGTTTGTTGAGAGGTAAATTTGAATGGTGTGTGAAAAGCATGGGTTTGAGTTGTGTGTGAATAAGATGGCTGTTTATATGGTAGGTACACTAACAGGCATGAGATTAAGGAGGAGTGTTAGAGCGACAAATTGCTAGGAGTTTATATTTGCGTGTAATCTCATTGCTGTTATTCGTATGGTTTGTGGTTGTCAGAATTATTTGAATATACTGACTGACATGCACTTCAAGTTTTGGTTGTTACTTGCTTAGATACGTTGTTTGTACTCATGTGTTCTATTTTGTTTGTAAATATATATTAAGTCAATATTAGCTGGCATTCTTTATTTATTATATATGATCGAGGTTATCTAGTCCTCGATCACAAACAAAAACTGATCCCACTTTACTACATATGCAACACTCACACATCCACCTGTTTGTAAAGATACAATCGAACGAACGAAACAGCAATATAAGTTTCAACGGCAGCGCGAACGGGACGGCGAGATCCGCGTCACTGCGCTACCGACCAATCACGCGACCAGTACTCGACGTCACTACAGAGTAGCGTCAGAGAAAAAAATAAAAGTATTTTTTATTAAATATAAGTTTTTTATTAAAATTCAATAAAAAAATCCACATTGAGCAATTTTCAATCTACTTTGAAAAGCTGAGGGAATGAAACTGTTTACAAGTATACCTACTAAAAGTAGGTTTTTTACATGATAACGTCAACATTTTTTTAAGGTATCTTATACTGCTGGATGTGGTCATTTTTATTGTATTCAGTGTTTAAAAGAATCTAATCGAGATACAATTTTTACTAGAAACTTTACACTTATTATATTTCAATACCAATCATAAACTGATTTGATTTGACACACATTATTATATCACCTGATAAAAAATCAGTTAATAAGGGTACCTACTAAAAGTAGGTTTTTTATACGATACTGTCAACAATTTTTTAAGATACCTTGTACTGCTGGATTTGGAAATTTTCATCGTCTACAGTATTTAAAAGAATCTAATCCGAAACACTTATTATATTTCTCTTCTAAGCATGAATTGCTTGTTTTATAAATCTAATGTAAACTATACTTTAAATTATTCATTTAAATAATAAAAAAATGTAAAGGTAAAATGAAATAACAAAAACAATAATCATCATCGATAAATAAAAATAAACATAAGTTATGCCTTGGGCTTTATAACAGAAGTAAGAATCTTACTAGGTACCTACCTACTGTGTGGCAATAGGGTTGATGACAAAACCTTTTTTTTCTTCGTCGGCCAGGTAGATTAATAAAAGTATTGGACAAGTATTTATTTCTTATTCACATAATCAAAACATTACAGAAATATGTTGATATGAAATTTTTGAACATATGATCTTGCTATTTTAGACGCCCTTATTTTATATTATTTATGCTGTTTTATTACAAAATGAAGCATGGGAATCTGATCAAGAAATCAAGACCCGGATAGAAATCGCTCGAGCCTCTTTTAATAAAATGAGGAAAGTTCTTTGCTGTCGTCAACTGAATATAAAGCTCCGAGTCAGGCTACTCATGTGCTATATCTGGCCTATTGTCATGTATGGTTGCGAAACGTGGACCCTGAAAGAAGACACTACAAGACGCCTACAGGCATTCGAGATGTGGTGTTACCGTCGCATGTTACTCATTAGTTGGACGCAGAGGGTCAGCAACGAAACCGTGCTTCAGCGCGTTCATATGTCCCGGAAAATCTTGCCTTCTATTAAAAAAGCGCAAGATAGATATCTTGGCCACGTGCTCAGGAACGATAGATACATGCTGCTGCAGTTGATAATGATAGGCAAAGTGGACGGAAAGAGACGTGCTGGACGAAGAAAAAAGTCATGGCTCCGGAATATCCGGGAGTGGACCGGTATTGCCTCCGTCGAACAGTTGTTCCGGCTGGCTGCTGATAGAACTACATACAGGAAGCTAACGGCCAACCTTCAGGATTGAAGAGGCACTGGAAGAAGAAAAAGATTACAAAAACAATTTTAAACCCTACAAAGAATGAAAACGCCATTTCTGTAAGTACAGAGTATATTAAAGCTAAAATGTCTGAAAAAATAAATAAACCTCTTCGAAGAAACCAAAATGAAATGAGTTTAATAAATGCAGCATATTTTTTACCTACATAAATTAATATTCCAAAAAAAATTACGAAATATTTTTTTTGTTGACTCTACCCAATTTTTACTCTCGACTGAGATTACAATGGCAAATATTCGCGCTTATGCTTTTTCTCCCTCATACAAACGTTTACAAGTGTTGTTGTCTTTTTCTTAATAACAAATACCGAATAAAATTTAAAACAAACAGCATTTTTATGAAAAAATATATTTTATAGTACTTACGAATGAAAAGTGATGCCGTCGGTTTTATTTTTAGTACTTGATCAATTTGAGTACTTTTTAAAACAACACTTAGGCATCATTTTATCTTATAATCACAAAAATTTTGACGTTCACATGTACGTCATTTGCATGTCAAGTTGTGACTAAAGCGATTGTGGCCTTGGGCCACAATTTATGCGGATCACTTTTGTGAGGCTACCCTTTTTGTTTTAATCTAAGAATGAGCATGAAGTTTGGTCTCGAGTGATATATTTATGTTTTTTTTATAATTTTAATTTTTAAGCATGTAACTGCTCGATGTTTAAATCTTAAGAAAGGATTCTGCTCGTCGGTGTGTTGGTAAACGCACGGGTTCTGAATTTAGCCTCGTTTTAAACGCTCAATTTGTGCTTTGAGATTCTAAATTGTGTTGTCCCTTTTGTGTGGGTTGTGGTTAACCTAATCAGCGATTTGGTAAGTCTCTTAATATTAAGACTCGATGGATTTAGGCGAGGATGACCCTTCGGACAGGGGGGCCGACCTCCAAGATGACGCCATGGTGGCGTCCATAACTTTATTATCACAAACTCAGTTAATAAAATTTGCTCAGAAAAGACCTTCTACATTGGACGATGACATTATAAAACCGAAAAAACTTACGTCTCTTTCTGAATCATCTCAAACCATGTTCGTCTTGCCGGAATATGACAACAACAATAAATTGAAATTTTCCAACGTGGACATGGCGCCATTTTCAGTCCAGATTTCCAAAAATGAGGAGTTAAGCGTCCAAGGTAGCACTTTGAGCGCATTGAAACTTGCACAAGACAGAAGTCAATAAAATGTTGTCATGTCTGAGGAAAACATCTCTTACTCTGAGGCCTCCAAACGCTTCCAACCCGCACGCATGCTGTTTTCAGATTCTGTTAAGTCAACTCCCCCCACACCTTCACAGTTTAACTCGTTCACTACTAATGCTCCACATTGCTCCCCAATGACCCCTAAAAGGTCTTATAAAAACTGTCACCTTAAACCAGCGTACTAGGGCTCCATCAGGTCCTGGTTATGATGGGGAAGCCCACGAAAACCTAATGAAAACACTGGCATATTCCCTGCCAAATGGCAGCGCATTACAAGCTCCAAGAGAGCCTCCCTCACCAACCCCTTATGATAACCTCGCAGAACTATTGACTTCAGCTTTAGTCAATATTTTGGAAAAAATCTCGGATATCATTCCCCCATACGTTCTGACCCTGCTACACCAACTTATTCTCATGTTCCAAAACAAAAACAATGGATCCAGTTCTCCTACAGTGGAATGGTAGAAACATCAGGAATAAAAAATAGGAACTTATATTCCTCATCAACAAGCACACTCTGGTTGCCCTTGCCCTCTCTGAGACATGGCTCAGACCAGATAGACGGTTCTCTATCTCTTTGCGTGCCCCCGGGATGACAGGGACGATGGTCGGGCTGGTTGTGTCTTATTTATTAAAATTTCCATAACATTCTCCCAAATTGATATTCCCACTCACAGTACTAACCTCCACATTGTTGCAGCCAGAGCCCTCAATATGTCAATAATTTCAATTTATATACCTCACCCTTATTTGGAACTGCTTGTAGAGCTGGACAGCTTACTGTCTCGCATTCCTGGACCCCTTGTTATCCTGGGAGACTTTAACTGCAAACATGAATTATGGGGATCCTCCTCTTGTGACCCTCTATCTACCTATTTAATAGAGGCATTTGATGACCTGAATGTCTGTGTTCTAAATGATGGTTCACCCACACGCAGAGTCGCTCCTGACCAGAACCCTAGTGCAGTTGGAATATTCCTTGCTTCCTCATCATTGGCCCCTTTAACTTCTTGGAAGGTTCTCCCAAACACATATGGTAGTGACCACTTTCCAATTCTCACAACTCTTCATACCTCACCAATTCATGCTAAGGAATGCTCTCCCTCTTTTAAAATACCGTACCAATAAAGCAGACTGGAATACTTCCTCTTCCCTACTCGATAGTGAGATCAGATCTCTCGAGCCAGTCAACAATGACAACTTTTAGCACAATATGATAATCATAATCATAATCAAAATCATTTATTCAGTTTAGGCTGTTACAAGCACATATGAATGTCTAGAAGCTACGCCATCGGTTCGTAAATCTACGGCGGGAGACCTTGTACTGAGAAGAACCGGCAAGAAACTCAGCAAGGGCTGTTTTTTTCTCCCTGTTTTATTATTTACAGAGTCGTCAAATTGAAAAATGACTTCAGAGGTGATTCATGAAGTCACTTTTCATTACATAATTATTAAATATACATTAATTGTTTACCTGCATTTTGAATACTGTATCACACAGTATAAATACAAATAGTGTTATTTATATTCAGTGTGACTAAACATTAACATATTTACTTAAATTAAGGTCATTTACCTGTAAGACACAACAAACAATTACAAAACAAAGCAAAGGAGAAATCACGACCACGCCGTTTTGTCAATCAAATATTCTTAAACAGTCTGATAATCTTACTTAAGTTATTAACTTTATATACAGCTTTCAGTTTAATTATAGTATTGTCAACACATAAATAGTATTGTCAACACATAAATCATATAGAAATACCCGTCGGAATGGTTGGAACAGTTCATACCCAAGCATTTTTGTCTGTAATATAATCAAACACTTTATAATATGCTTTCTTAACTAGTGATTTTTTAATGGTCGATTTAAATTTAGTCATGCTTAACTCTTGAATATTGCTTGGAACTTTATTGTAAAAGCGAACACTAAGACCTCTAAACGAATTATTGATTTTGTGGAGCCTAGTAGCAGGTAAAGTTAAGTTATTTTTATTTCTAGTATTATATGTATGTATTTCACTATTTTTAGTAAACAAATTAATATTTTTTTTTACAAATACTAAGTTGTCATATATGTATTGTGATGCAACTGTCAATATACCTATTTCTTTAAACTTATCTCTTAATGAATCCTTAACTTTAAGATTATAAATTGATCGAATAGCCCTCTTCTGCAGCACAAATATAGTTTGAATGTCGGCGGCATTTCCCCACAGTAAAATACCGTAAGACATTACACTATGAAAATAACTAAAGTAGAGTAATCTGGCAGTTTCTATATCCGTTAACTGCCGTATTTTCATTACAGCATATGCTGCAGAACTAAGTCTCTTCGACAATCCATCAATATGTGGGCCCCACTGCAGCTTAGAATCTAGTGTGATTCCTAAGAACACTGTGGTATCTACAGAGCTCATATGTCGATCCTTTATATTTACATTAGTTTTTACCTGTTTCACATTAGGTAATACAAATTTCAAACACTTAGTTTTCCCTTCATTTAGCATCAAATTATTAACATTGAACCAGTGGACTACCTTCGAAATAGACCTGTTTACGTCATCAATTTGTGACTCCCTACGTTTAATTTTAAACAAAAGTGAAGTGTCATCCGCAAACAATACTATTTCGTGGTTATCCTTTACAAAATAGGGCAAGTCATTGATATAAATTAAAAATAAGAAAGGACCAAGGATTGAGCCCTGCGGAACTCCCATCTTAACCGACGAACCAGGAGATTTTACTCCATTGATGTCAACCCTCTGAACCCTATCACTCAAATAAGATACAATAAGGTCCAGGAGTGGTATCTCTAAATCCATAGTGGTGAAGTTTCCTGATCAATGTTTCATGAAAAACGCAATCAAAAGCCTTTGATAAGTCACAAAATACACCTAATGCATCTTGCGAGTTCTCCCAGGCATCAAAAATTTGCTGTACAAGCTCAACACCGGCATCGGTTGTTGAGCGACCCCTTGTGAAACCAAATTGTTTACTATGAAGAATGTTATTACTATAAAAATATGATTGCATTTGATCTAGCATAATTTTTTCAAAAATCTTACTAAAGGTGGGTAACACGGATATAGGTCTAAAGTTTGTGGGGTCAGATGTGCTACCCGATTTATGTAATGGAGTTATTTTACTGAGTTTCATTAGATCAGGAAAAACACCACAGTCAACACATTGATTAAAAATGCTAGCCAAAATAGGAGCTATTGTCTCAATTACTGATCCAGAAACATCCACGGAGTTACCCCACAGATCCGCAGTTTTCTTTTTATTTAATTGGTTGAAATATTTTATTACATCTTGACAGTTAACATACTTAAATTTAAATTGACTAGTATATTGTTTTGTGTGTTCTTTTAATATTGATTCAGCAGCAATGGGGGACGAGTTCAAAGATTTTGTAGTTGAAACTGGAATATCAGTGAAAAAGTTCTCAAATGCTGTAGCAACTTCAACATCTGATGTAACATTTCTATGTTCAATGTTTAAATTAAAACTAGTATTTCGAGTTTTAGATTTTCCAGTTTCATTGTTTATAATGTTCCAAGTCATTTTGATTTTGTCATTACTATTCTTAATCTTACTACTTAAATAATTTGATTTTGCTGTACGACATACTTTTTTAAATAACTTTGAATAATTACGTACGTACTCTTTGAAACTTTCACTAGTATTAATGCTGCGTTCATTGTAAAGTTCATAAAGTTTCCTTCTACTTTTATGTATGCCTGGGGTGGCCCACTCGCTGAAAGTTACTGCATCACTAACACATATGGTTTTGGGAACAAAGACATCATTAAATTCTTTACAAAAATTATTAAAAAAATCATTATACATATCATTTGGACTACTTTTATACTTTAAATAACTCAAACTCCTATCTAATTGAATTTTAAAACGCTCTATACGGTTAACAGATTTTGGCACAATAGTAATATATTTCTTGGTGATATTTTTATTTGGATGTGGAAAAGTAATCATCTGGCCACAATGATCACTATCCAGTTGATTAACAATTACTTTTGAATGTGGTATTATATCCGTATAAATATTGTCAATACAAGTGGCCGAAGTGGCAGTTATTCTAGTAGGCTCCATGAACAAGTTTTCAAGATTATATGATTGAAATAGATTTCTTAATTTAATACTCAAATTAGAGGTTTCTAATAGATTAATATTAAAGTCACCACAAACAATTAATCGTTTACCAGTGTTGACAATTTTTTCTAAAGCTTCATCCATAATAGTTTCAAAACAAATTAAATAATAAACTCATTGAGGCGATTCATACTGCAGCAAGTAGCGCGATCCCTTTAAAGAACTCTGCCATGAGGAAGTTTCCCTCCCCACCATGGTGGGACTCAGATTGCACCCAAAGCATCCGCGAAAGAAAAGCCGCTGAGAATATTTATGCAAATAATTTAACCCTAGAAAACTACTTCCAGTATAAAAAAGCAGCAGCTAAGACCCGTAGACTTCTGTCAAAGAAGAAATCCCAAGGCTGGAGAGACTTTTGTGAATCACTTTCACCACGTACACCACCATCTATAGTATGGAAAAAAATTAAATCTTTCAAGAGGTCGTTGACTAATGATTATGGTATCCGGTCCAATTACACTGATCCCTGGCTGTCACACTTCACCGACAAATTAGCTCCTTCATATGTCCCATCAAAGGATTGTCTACCCACACCTACATTCTCAATTCCTGCTCCCCCAGGGGATACAATGAACGAGGAGTTTTCCTACGCAGAACTTGCCTGTGCGCTGGATAATCGAAAGGACTCTTCTCCAGGCATAGATGGGCTCACATATTCTTTTGTTTCCAAGTCCTCCCATTTCACTAAATTATATTTCCTCAATTTAATTTTTTTTTCTAACAGGTGTAGTACCAAGATATTGGAAAACCCAAATTATTGTCCCAATTTTAAAATCATCAAAATCATCAAATCAATCACAAATCACCCTAATCACGGAAAATGCAGCACAACTCTTAGGACTGCGTCGATAACACGTCAACGCGTCTGTCTGCGGAATAGGGGTTGCTCCGAAGAAAGGCAAGGGCAAAATCACACTGAATTGCAAATCAATTTATGACAACTACGATTTCGAGACCGAAGCTCTTATCATGACAAAAGTTATTAATAACCTGCCAAGTACTTCATTTGACAAGAAAAAATATTCGCATTTACAAAACATTCAGTTGGCCGATCCGGAATATCATATTTCAAAACATATTGACATTTTACTTGACGTGAAGGTGTACTCCGAAATTATTATGAATGGATTATTACGCGGGTCAGTACTACAAACTAAGTTGGGATGGATTTTATCCGGGAGCATCAAGTCTATAAGTTTTAATTGTTACGTGGTTGTGAATAATGAAGAAGATATGACAAGGTTCTGGGAAATGGAAGAAGTTACAGAAAACAAGGCATTGACAGAACGGGAACAATGGTGCGAAAATTACTATGTGTCTACAACTAAAAGATTACCAAATGGGAGGTATGAAGTAAGAATGCCAATGATCAAAAACTTTGAACAACATCTCGGCCCATCCAAACCGAAAGCCGTAGCCCAGCTGAAACATTTAGAATTCAGATTAGCAAAAAATTACAAATTATATGACAGTTATCATCAGTTTATTGACGAATATATAGCCATGGGACACATGAAAATATGCATGACAAGAAAAGAACCTAGTTGCTTCTTACCCAACCATAAAAAAGTCTATTAAATTTGACAATTTACCTCAGCCGTAGCGTATTTACGTGACAATCTTTTAAGTCTATAATAATATACTCTAGTTACATAATTTGATATAACTTTATGTTATAGTTTCCATTTTTTATCTTTTATTGTTTATTTCTTTGTTGTCGTTGGCAATATGTACAAGCCATTTTAATTATATTTTATTAAGTTTGCATTCCGAGTCGATGCACTCTAAACTGCTGACACAGTTGACTCACTAATTGGTTTAAGAACAATATTTTACATTATATGACAGTGCAATAAAGGCATTCACATCATATTGACGTATTTTAATAATTATCTCCTGACAGTCGTCCCGTGACTAATTGACATATTGACAGTCGTTAGGGTCCTAGTAACGGCCCCAACAATAGGCCAATTACCCATATTAACTCAAGTATCTAAGTTAGCTGTCTAAACGATTCGGAGATTTCCTAACATGACTTTCTGCCATGTGTGTCCTACGCTCCTGCAGAGCGGTGTGAGAGCCAAGGCCGTCGCCTGCTCCCCACGCAACCCGTGCATGCGTGCGCCCACATGCACGAGCCGCGTCGCCCACTTATATGGCACTTCTGTGGAACGTCTTCCATCTGGCTCAGCCACTATTCCAGCTGCGTCCAGACATAGCGCTGCGCATGCTATAACTCTCTCTTGTGGTCTTTCGGTAGGGTCCCCTATGACTTGCCTCCTGCAGAAGCACAAGCCCTCATATTGTTATAATTATGTCAATGCCACAGGCGTTTAACGCCCTTACGCCGCCCGCCCTTTCGCCGTGTGAGAGAGTGGTGTCGATTCTGGCAGGATTCTCTAAACTTAAAACTAAATTTGACATCAGTCTGTCCTTTTCAGTCTGTATAGAGAATGACAGAGATACACTGTTGCCAAATTTAAGTTTAGCTTTAGAGAATCATGCCAGAATCGACACCACTATCTAGTTACAGTGCTGGTATACACAGGTACATAGGTTAATATCAAGTGCGCAGGTAAGCGCTTATTTTCATACATACAAACTTTTCTAAAGATGCAAACAGGCTATCATTTATGTGAACTATTCTACTACTTAGCTTTCGTTATATTCCGTTGGTTCTCGAGCTCGTAGATAGGCACGTATCAGGTAGGCACATTTTCATGGCACATAGCAGTTATTAAATACAGGTACAAGGTAAATACAGTATGTTAGTTAAAATAGCACAACAAACAAGAGAAAAAAAGGCGGCTTCTTACTTGACATTGACATTAGAATTATAGCGGTAATTGATATGTGTTGCCACCTCAAACATCGCGACTGGTGTTGCCGTCGCGACATAGCCTGTATCACATTTTTGACATTTATGCGATACTGTTTTATGTCAAAAAGTTGAACGTAATATGCATTTAAGTTGATATCATTTTAAAGAGTTGATCATAATACGCAGAAGTTGATGTCTACAATAGTAGATGTCATTTTGATATCGCATTTTTCAGAGAGCATAATATACGTAATGTGAAATTGATATCATAACAATCATGACAGACCCACCATACCCCTAGCCATACCCCCAGGGGTAGGGTGGGACTGAACCATACCACCGTAGTGCTGTGCACTATATGCTTTCAGGTTTTGTTTTTAATATCACAATTAGAGAGCATAATTGGCCTACTGTATAGGTGATGACAACAGATGATAAGAAGAGGCTTTTGTTATTGTCAATTATACAAAACTAGCAAACCAGTGAACCAAATGTTCACCAAAACCTGATTAAAAAAAAAAAGAAATTCGTGATTTCTCGAAAACCGGAAGTGCTACGTTACTCAAATCCGGTTTGTAGTCTTATCAGACTATTGTTTAACTTATAACATAAATATTCTCTTTATCTATCGCTTACGGTTTGACCGCTGAAACAGCACCACAGGCATGATTAAATTATTAGATATGATTAAATTATTGTATCAATCCTAATGCCTGAAATTCACCTGGCTATTCGTGTTTGTTATTTATAAACTTGTCACTGTCTATCCTTTTCATTTCATACAAAGCATGACTAGGACAGACTGTTGTCAAGTTTACAAACAGCAAACATGAATAGCCAAGTGAAGTGCCGGCATAGGTTATATGATAACTTTTACGTTTGTGTAAAAAAAGCGTAAAGAAAATGTTTTGATAATTCATGCCATTTTCTAATGGTTAAAGCTGATAGAATTTCCTTTGGACTGGGTTAAATATTTAATAAAACAGATAAAACAACAATACTTCGTGTTAACTTAAGCAAGCCATCTATAAAATAAAGAGGAAGAAGAAAGTCAGTCTTTTTATAAGATAAAAAAAAAGTTTAATGAATTTATTAATTACTTACTACTAGTTCATTAATCATATATATCAAATTTATTTACACATGTGGGAAAGTTTCAAATTGCAGAAATGTGCGCTAAAATAGCATTTGTACCTACTGTATTATAACCAAAAATAGCGCTCAAATGGTTTTCCGAATACTTTTGACGTCACTTCCGCAAATGTGGGTACGGTGTTGTTGTTGTAATAATGTTTTCAGTTTTATGAAAAAGTATTTTTTATAAATTTGTAAGCAATCCTGGTCTTTTTAAAGACATATATTCTTTAAATATATCTTTAATTGATTTATCTAGTATAGAGAGCTTATTGTATTTTATAATTAATAAAATAAGCATTTGTGCTGGTATCATTTTCAAAAATACAAAAGGGAAGAATAATGTTGAACGAACTTCATAAATGGTCGATTTTCCTGTTCACCGTTCTCTGTTCGCAGATTGTGTGACAATTTTACTTTAAAACCTATATTGTTTCCATTATTGCTCTTTCTTATTATAAGTTCTTATTATTTTCATATAAGTGTTTAAAGTTTACGGTATTTTTAAATAATAATTAATAATTATTACATAAAACGACTTGGGTGGTACTTTTGCGTTTAGACGGGAGCCATCTTGCAATCTCTAATCAAAGGTCCTTGGCTCACAGTTTCGTTGTCTAGTTGAAACTTGATTTATTCCATCATAAAATAATCAAATGGCGTTAAAACGAATTAATAGGGTACGTATCGTTGAGTCTAATAATTATGTAAAAGAAATCGAAGAGTAAAAATGGTGTGCTGTTAAAATCTGCATCAAGACTTCGTAGTGAATGTTTCGTCATTGTGAATACCTATTTATTGGAATTTCTTCTGGATTATTCCCTGTTTGTGATTTCGCTATTCATAAAGTACTCTTGTTATGATAGTTAACAATTACGATGTAAAAAATTCAAAAGAACAGTGTTTTACTGGTTGATGTAGGTGACAATTTGTGCACACGGCGTACATAAAATGTCGGAATTATGTGCCAATTTTGAGGTTTTCTTGTATGATGATGATGATCTATCAGTGTCGTGATGGTGTCTTACGTGTAATCTTGTGATATAGTATATTACAATGATAATGTTATTACTGTCATCGCTTGAAGTTATACGCACTAAGGTTTATTTTCAAAGTGATGATGTGACAAGTTGTTTTATCTCTGTATTGTGTTTCCTGTAATGGGTAGAAATCAGAGGTTTCTGTTTTGTTGTTTAGGAATTACAAGACCTCGGCAGAGACCCCCCAGCACAATGTTCTGCAGGTCCACACGGTGAAGATCGTAAGTACCTATTGATCTACCTACTTCTTTTTTTGTGACTCATTGTCTCGTTTTATTAATAATACTGAGAATCCATGTCTTAACGAAAATAATCAGCAATACTGTAATTTTAAAAATTATGAATGTTATAGAATCTGATAGTTTATGTCTGATTAAGTTAAATAATCTCTTTAGTTTTTCATTTTACTTTGTTGCCATAGTGTGAATTGTATTGTCCAATACATTTTATTAGAAATAATTTCTTTTGTACATATATATCCAATTTATAATGTTATTGGAAATGTAATTGTTTCTTTCTATATTTTCAGTTTTCCATTGGCAAGCCACAATTATGGGTCCAGTGAGTATCAAATTTAATATTTTTAATAAACCTTTATCTGAATCTTACAATTAATCTTGACAATTACTAAAATAATCTTTTGGTTAGTGGTGTTTAAAATTTAAATGATCTTTAAATCTCTGTTTAATTGCATAACTACACATTTATGTATAAGGCTTCTCACACTGACCTGTAAACATAATTGTCTTACAGATATTCAATTTGTATTATTTTATATTAGAATTGCTCTCTGCACTGTCTCCATTATTTAAATACATTATACTATGAGTATGAATAATTTTTTTTGGACAATGTTGAAATCCTAATAAAATCACTTAAATTATGATAAAGAATTGGATAATCTTAATTTAGTTTTGAAAGTTTTTTTTTTGCTTTTCAGGTTGACAGTCCCTATCAAGGAGGCGTATTCTTCCTGACTATACATTTTCCTACAGACTATCCATTCAAACCACCAAAAGTTGCATTCACAACACGTATTTACCACCCTAACATAAACAGTAATGGTTCTATTTGCCTTGACATTCTGCGTGCACAGTGGTCACCCGCACTCACCATATCCAAAGGTAATTTTATTTTTGTAGCTACTGAAATAACTTAGTTTGATGCATAATGGCAAAAATGCTACTATGGTGGTAACTAGCAAAACCAATCATATTGAGGAACCAAAATTTAACAAATTATTTTTGACAATGAGGTCATTATAGTTTTATATATCATGGCAAGGAGAGCAAATGAAATCTAAATCTCATATTCATTCTTTCCAGTGTTGCTCTCAATCTGCTCACTGCTATGTGATCCAAATCCAGATGATCCGTTGGTGCCAGAAATTGCTAGAATCTACAAAACTGACAGAGAAAAGTACAATGAACTAGCCCGTGAGTGGACAAGGAAGTATGCCATGTGATGAGTCAGTTGTGACATCAGCAAACATACACACACATCGCCACAGCCCGGGCTCTAACCCTTCCCCTGTTTCTGCTCCCCAATATTCCGGTATCCCTCATCAATGACCTAAATTAACTGGAACTTGTAAAAACTTAATAAATTGTCACCTTAGGATCAACCTAATTTATGTTGTTTATTTTAATCTGTGATCTAAGTAAACAATACATGTGCAAGTATAGTTTCTGTTTTATCTAATAAGAAACTTTTCTATAAGAGCAAAATTATTTTCTGTTATTCCTTGATGTGTCAGTAGATGTCTTTCACTCATTTAGTTGAGGGTTAGTTAAATTTACATTTGAATTTATGTATGTCCTAAAGAATTTGTACTTTAACTAGATCTAAATTGCATTGTGAAACTGTACAATAGTCATATGTTTAGGAAATGGAGCGTTCTCGCTTACCACTTGTCCGATTTCTTAGGAATTTTGTTGATGAAATGTAAGTAAAAGCTCATAAGTGTTAAGAACATTTTGGGTATTGTAAGTAAGTGGTATTACAAAATGAGCTCGTTCACGGAGTCGAGTGAGTGTTAATTTTTTTTACTAGAAACAACTTTTTTAAGTTAGTGAATGTAGCGTGCTACAAAGCAGACTGACATCAATTGAGGCAGTCAGTTTTCTTTCATCCACAATATTTTATAATGACGGAAAACGCTCCAATAGTTACAACTTCAGTATAAATTACAGTGTATCTCATAAGATGATAAGTTACGATTAATCTAGATTTTTTCAATATGGCGATCTTTATATTATAATTTTATCTAATATATATTGTGGTTGTAAGGATATCTGCGTTGTGATTTCCGCAAACATCCTATCCACTTTCACCATCCTCGTTTCCTTAATATCAACTTTATTGAATAAGAGATAGCAGCTTTTCGGCACGAGTGGCTAAATAGTGTGTTATACAGCTGCAGGATGAAGCTTGTCACTTTAAAACTGGGAGAGATTAAAAATTAAAAGCTTTTCAAATTGTAATCAATCAACAACTTGTATTTTTAGCTTCACTAAATTGTAAGAAACAATAAATTATTGTGTATGTAAATAATATACCGAGCTTTATTTAGGCGACTTCCTGATGCGTAGGCAGGCTGCTCTAGTAAAAGTACATAGGCATCGCCAACGCGGCCGCAGTAGGACATTTGCCAAAATACAATTCCCAGTCCCGTTTAGTCCATTTGCGTAGATAAAATGTGGTGGGAATCTGAGAATTATTTTCAATTAAGTACAATAGTGGCAAAGCATTTGATATCACCAGAATTACTAGGTATTAATTTGTCACTTTTAGGTATATTGCACCGGTTTCGTACTTGTCTTCTAATAAATATATGTATAACGTAAATAATGAAGCAATGAACATTACATACATAGGTATAAATTATCAGTATTTTTATCACAATCTGTTTTGGTCACCTACATAATTATGCTGAATAGCATTTTCGTAAACAGAGTCAGGTCTAGTCGCGTGGTTATTTTTTTTTGTTTTTACTTTCTTTAATCTATTTCGCTATTAATCTATATAATTACTATGATATTATTTAATTTTAATAAAACTTCAATTCTTGCTCCCATGCATTTAATACAGATATATAGATTCATGCACATTTTATATTTATCTTTGCTACTATGTAGTTGAGATAAGATTTTTCGAATACATACTTATGTTTGAAATTAAAGTTTTTTCTTCTTATCTAAGATATTTTTAAATATTGATGATTTTCAGGCTATGAATGTTTATCAATCCTCTATTTAACATCTTAATTAACATTTCTTATTGTAACGTTGAAAATTGACCTCTATGTAGGCGGGTGTAGGTCATACTCTCAAATAACCTAGAGATTTTATTGTCTTCAAAAGAATAATGGAATGGAACTAAATAACAGTTTTTTAAGGATTTGGATATGAGGGATCCACAATTTTTATCAGTGATATTATTAAATTTCATAATTTTGACAAGTATTGTGTTTGCAAGGCGAAAGTAAGTAATAGCAATGGGATAGTTTTAATGTTTTATTTCATAGTTTGTAGGTAGGATAACCCACTATTTTAACACTGCCGGGTTTCGAACCCTGTCACTTAAAAATACTACATCTACTACACTCGGTTATTAATCCATCGTTATGTACGATGATTCTGTCAATGTCAGGGTTAAAAAAGGCACGGCTATTTTGGTACTGTTCGTTGTACGGTAGGGTTAGCCGAATGTCTTCCAGGCCCGGTAGCATGACTAACACAATTTACGTTGTATCACGTTTTTATCGCGTCTAAATGTCAAACTCCATAGTAATTTGATAATTGGACGTGATAAAAACGAGCGATATGTCATAACTCGGTGCTCATGCTAGGGGGCTAGAAGCGACCGCGTGGAGTTGAAATTCTTAAAAAGAGACTACACAGTACATCACCAAAAGCAGCTATCTACTTAGGTGGTAAGGTACCTATGTACCTTACCATGTAACATGGTATTATAGGTAACTACACAATAAAGTGTATAACCAAACCAAGTCCAAGATAGATTGTCCTGGCCTTGTCACGAATCTTGATTTTGCCCTTTAGTTTTTGTACGATAATTTTATATCCAATAAAAGTTAGTGTTGTCATGTCTTAGCGAAAGCAATATTTATCTTGAGACGATCCGTGACTTATCAATGTGTGTGGTCTCTTAATTAATAATATCTCCGAGAAAATTACCCAACGTTAATTAAGCTATTTATTTTATGGTCGTCCCTCTGTGTGTAGCCATTTATTACTAAATATATGCAGCCGTTACTTTTGTAAACGATTTCGACAGTTTAATATTTTATTTCGCAGACTGGAGCGCTAACTTAACCGATTCTAACTTAAACGTAATTTTTTCCTTTCTTTTGCAGAGATGTAATATTGATTTGAAATGTCGCATGACGTCAAAAATTGGTACAATTTTTACACAAGTGATGTCCACGCGAATTTTAACGCGCTTTATCTTTGTATTTTTTTTTGGTTGATTGACAAAATCCAGTCCATTATTTTTTTATTATCTAACTGACGGACTAAATAGAATTTCGTTTAAATTACCTAATCAAAGAATTTACTCCGTCATTATCCCTAATAATTTTAGGTCACTGTTATTAAAAATCATCCTTTTATCTATTTGACATCTAAGTCTTCATTACTAAATACATTCTTTGCGAATCAATAAGATATTCTGATTTTTTGTGATTTATTTTATCAACAGATTTTGTGAATCCCATAGATTCCATCAGGCATCGTAAGTAATATTTGTAATTGCAATAGCGTTTAAGAATGGTAGATAGTAATGCTTACCGGTGTGTAGAAAGCAGGGATGTAACGGAGGTAATATATCGGAATCGAAGTCGGAATTTTTAAATTTGATTTATCGGAGTCTGAACCGTAGTCGGAGGCAGAGTCGGGGTCAGAGGCAGAGACAGAAGTGGTCACAAGAGAGATATTTTTAATTTAAGAACAAATAAAAACATCATTCAGTCAACCTTTTTTCATTTTTATTATAAAATATCCATTTTTAGAATTGTCAACGTATAGAAATCTGAAATTGGGTGGAAGTTCTTCAAAATATGAATATGCGCAATAATCGAACGAGAGCTTTGCACAAAAACACAGCGGCACACACACCGCTAAATCATTTATTTTTTCAGCCACCCGGCTGGGGCAACTAGGGAGTGGGGTACTCTAAATCTATGCTGCGCCAAGTACGAGTACGATTCGTCGGACAGTCACATACTTCTGTAAAAATTCCTATCAAATTATGTTGATTTCAATGTTTTTAAATTACCAACTACTTAGCTAAGCAATTAACGTAAAATTTTTAATGGATGGGTGGCCTAAAAATATCTGGCTTTTCTGCGCTTTGTGTCGTTTATGGTTACATCTTTTGTAGTAGCAATAGGTATTGGACAAATTGCCTTGTTTCCTCCAGCTTCTTTCTACTTGTCTCCTAATGGATACAAGATCCCAACTGTGAGGATATCAAAAGGCTGATTATTATTCAAGGTAACCCTGGATTGACCTATACTTTGTAAGAGGACAAGGACTTACCGATAGACACACTGAGTTCGCAGTAATAAGTGATATTAGCTGCTAAAAGGATCTTGACTATGAAATTATCCTAAAATTTACTTTATTAAAAAAAAATTGCCTAGTTATAAACATAAAGAAGTAACTAATACGCCTTTATTCATAAATGAAGATTAAGCTTTGATTTGTCTTTGTTCATTGAATGAAATGGCATTTAAGAGCTATGAACAAAACGGCGTAACTAGTCTTAAGCTTATTTTTCATTTATTAGTAAGGGGGATAGATTTTAATTAAAGGGATAAGTTATAAGAAAACCCATTAAGAGGAAATCCGTTTCATTATTATTTTATAAAATCTTACAAAAAACATTCAGAAAGGTACATAATTTACATAGGCACATTATAATATCTAATAATGACGTAACTAACACATCTTGTTTACAGCTCAGTTGTCTCCATGTTTTTGGCGTTCTTCATTTGTTCTAGTTGCTGGTAGAAATCGTATTTGGCTTGGTTGTTTGGTACTTCGGTTTCGTTGGAGTCTATGGAGGGGAAAGCGCCTGTTGTTATGAAATAAGGCTTTTCGTTCGACAAGTCTTGGTCTACTGCGTTTTCGTCGAGCGAATCTCGTTCTGAATGGCTCAATTGGTCGTCGGATTTGTACCAATCATTCTCGTAGGCGTGCAGCCATATCGGGTTGGAGCCTTTCGTGCTGTGCTTGTTCGTGTTTGGCACTCGGCCTGCGGTGCTCCGAATGGTCATGTCCGATTCGCCGGCGGTTGGGGTAGCTGCAATAGAAAGAATATCGTGTGAGATAAATCTGTTTTATGTGAGGGGAGCTAAAAGCACAATCAATAAATTCGGAATTTAATCTGGAATCCATGGAATTTATGCTAATTTCACGATAGCCAAACTTTTAATAATTCAATCTCTTCCGTGCTTGTGCTTCGGAAGGCACGATTTGCAGTCGTTATAACCCAGTACTCCTTACAAGTCTATTGTATATCAGGAACGTCCGTATCCCGGGCCCCAGCAGGTACGGCATTAATAGGATGATGAAAATTAGTAGGTATTAATTTTGTGGTGGCTGCCTTCATTTTAGACGCATAGTCTTCTCTCTGCATGACCAGGAATAACGCCGTCCATACTAGCTAGAATACTGCCCGGGTAGATATCACAACCATCGTCCTTATATATATTTCTACATTAAACACACAGTAAGTGGTGGCGATGGCTGCCATCAGTTTGCGCGCGTAATCTGCTCTCTGCGTGACACAGACTAGCAGATACAGTACGAGCAGTACGGCCAGGAAAAACGCCGTCCATACCAGCTAGAATACTGGCTGGCTAGATATCGTCAAAGGCTGATAATTTGATAACTACTCTTTACTCACAGTAATCGGTGGCGGTGGTTGCCTTCATACTGCGCGCTGTGTGACAGAAACTAGCAGAGATATTACCAGCAGTACGGCCAGGAATAGCGCCGTCCATACCAGCTAGAATACTGCCTGGATAGACATCGCAATCTTAACCTTGTAGGCTTATATTTCTTTATATTATTACGCTATACTTACAGTAAGCGGTAGCGGTGGCTGCCTTTAGTTTTCGCGCGTAGTCTGCTCGCTGCGTGCCACAGACTAGCAGAGACAGTATCAACAGTACGGCCAGGACTAACGCCGTCCATATTAGCCAGAATACTGCCAAAATAAATGGCACTTTCTATGTTTAAAGACTGTTATTTGATGTCTTTTACTACATTTATTACTACACTACTCACAGTATGCGGTGGCGGTGGCTGCTTTCAGTTTGCGCGCGTAGTCTGCTCTCTGCGTGACACAGACTAGCAGTGACAGTACCAGCAGTACGGCCAGGAATAACGCTGTCCATACTAGCCAGAAAACGGCTTGGTTAGATGAAGCTGCTTCAGCTCTTAAAGGCTGGTATTCAGCTGGCTGGGTGTCCAGCACGTTGAACTCCTATTGAAAGAATATTTACCTTTTTTAAATACTCGTTTATTATTTTAGACATTGAGAATGGGCTCGAGCGACACTCGTATGAAATTGACAATTCTCTATAAAAAGAAAGCGAAAATTCAGCCTATACTTATACGACCGATTGACCGCACGATTGTTTCGTCTCTGTCACACTTATTTTCCCCGTTTTACTTTAAAATTGCATAGGGACCGTTTTGTCCATTCTGTATGCTTATTTTATGTTATGTAAAATATCAGTCATATCATCAAGTACCCCTCTTTTTGCGTCAGGGATTGTCAACGGGGAAAGGCAGAAATTCTACGAACCGTGTTATGTGCTTAATTTTTAAAATTTGCCATCTTTGATGGCTAAATATTCTCTGTCTATACAGCAAAGATTTATCGAAAGAGATATATTATAGAAACTAGTGGCCCGCCGTCGCTTCGCTTCGGTGTAAACTGTAGTTTTTGATTTCAGTCTTGTATTTTATAGGTAGACCGCTTAACTGGGTCCTCGACTGCGGGGTAAAGGGTCGTGAGAGGTGCGGGTGGCAGGCACATTCTTGTCAAATTCAGGTTTGAGTGGTGGAGAGGCTCCAGATGGAGAGGAGACTTCCCCCGTGGGGACACGCCATCTGCCTGGAATACCTCTAGAGTCACTCGCCAATTCTCGGCTTGAGGTCCCTTTAGGATCTCGCCGTCCCCAAACCCGGTGACACTGTAAAGGTCATCTGACCAACAGCATACACACACAAAAAAAAAACTTGTCAAAATTGCTAATGCCCGCCACCTGCACCTCTCACGTTCCCCATTCTCGTCCTCCCCCACACCCCGCAGACGAGGACTCAGTTAAGCGGTTTACCTATACATAATATCACGCTACGACTAGTAAGAGCATCGATGACAAATGTTGCAAAAACGGGTAAAAATGTTCCATTTGTGAGCTTCCGTTGCGTGCGCGGCGTAAATGGTTAAAGTTACACAAAAATCATGTATTATAGTAATATAAGTTATTTACGGGATAGTTACCTTGTACCTTGTTTTAAAAATCATGTATGACGGAATTGTTCCTCTTTACAAGTTCTATAAAAAAGTTTGCGGCAGCATGTCTATCTTTTAAGTTTGACTCATTAATAACGTTTTTCCTCAAATTAACGTGGGTGAAACCGCAGGGAACCTCTTGTTGTGACATAACTGTAATAGTTAGACATATGGTATTGCGAACTTCTTTTGTAGATTTATTTATGTCCTCTATAAAACTTTAGTACAGTCAGCTTCATAAAAATATGAGGTAATAAGGTGGTCAAATATATCTTACGAGCAAAGGTTCAATTATATCTTTGCATTTAAGCTCATCTAAATATTGTACACAACCAACCAGTCTTATATTTCTTTAAATCAAAGTCTCCAAATACATATGCACCATTACAATGATCTTTAATATATACGCGTCGTAATTGTTCATTGGTATCTAAGCGTCCAGAGTACTCATGAATATCTTAGCTGACATGGATTATTCAATTTAAATTAAATTAAAGATTCATCATCATCATCAGCCTATTAATGTCCCCACTGCTGGGGCACAGGCCTTCCCTATGGATGGAATAGGGAGATTGGGCCATGACCCACCACGGGGGCCCAGTGCGGATTGGTGGGTGCTAACGACTGCAGATGCAGCCGGGACCAACGGCTTAACGTGCCTTCCGAAGCACGGAGGAGCTCGAGATAGAAGATTTTTTGGTCACCCATCCAATGACCAACCACTGCGAAAGTTGCTTAAATTCAACAATCATAGCCGAACGCGCTAACCACCTGCGCCATCGAGCTCCCTGCGAGAATTAAAGATTACCAACTTAGAAAGGGAATATCACCGGATCAACTCGAGCCGATCAGTATTCTTTGTATAAAACTTCATACTGCAACGCACACTAATCGGAATCGTGACGTAATCGTCTCGACTCCTAACAAGCTCCCGAGCCGCGGTGCGTGGTCAACTTGCAGTTCGCGCTCTTACATCTCTTCGGACCCGAGCTTACGTTTCTTCCTCTGCCTAACCGGCAACCAGCGAGCCATATGCGTGGCGTCGCCTAGCCGTAGCCGAGTCGACATACTAGAGCTGCTTATCCGCTTACTTTAACAGGCTCAATTAAAAGCGAGTCTGTACCTCTAATACGACCTCCGTGGCCGAGTGGTTTGTACGCCGGGTTTCATGGCGTCGCCGACTCGAGAGGTCTCGGATTCGAATCCCGGTGGGGGCTGATGTTTGTGTGATGAACACGAGCATTTCTACTCCTGTCATGGATGTTTAATATGTATTTCTATATAAATATACTTATATATGTAAAGTATATGTATTCCATCCGTTACCCTAGTATCCCATAACACAAGCCTTATAGTGCTTACTTTGGGGCTAGGCTAATTGGTGTGTGTTGGATTTTTTTTTATTAATATTGTTTCAAAATAATGATATATATGAAAATGAAAAAAACACGAGCGAGCCTTACAGTAGTCGCGTATGATGTGTAACATTTGAAAGCTCACCTTATATTTGTAAAAAAAGAAATAAAACCTACTACAAAAGGAATAAGCCATTTGAACATTATGTTCTAAAATCAAATCAAATAGCGCGCACTTCCATCCCATTTCACGAAATCACTTCCACAAGTTGCAGGAAAGCGAGGGAAAAGATGTTACACATCAATAAGAACCGTAATACCTCAGATAAGCGTTTTCTTTTCTTTCCTACCAAGATATTTTTGATAACTTTAAGTGCTTAGATACCATTGAACAGTTATTGGCGAATATATAATTGATTATCATAACACATAACATAATTATGAATTATGTTGTTTCGATAATATTGATCACTCTGGCCGCTTTCAACAATAAGATTATCTAACAGCTCATATAAAATTGAATTTATGTATCTTCGATTATTTTGATCAGTCTTCACACTTCGGTTTTTATGGAGCTGACTTGTACATTATTTTGTACTATTGTCAATGACTTCCGCAGCGTACGCGATGTAATGTTATTTTTTTCACACGTTGGGTTACATTATTGAAGTTTCATACAGAAACATAACTTTTTTGAAAATATGTACTCTATAGCCTATGTTCATCAGGGATAATGTATGATTTTAAATGTGAAAGAATTATTCAAATCGGTCCAGTAGTTTCGGAACCTATTCCATAAAAACAAACAAAAAATTTAATCTTTCTTTATAATATTAGTACAGAAGTATAGATTGACAGCACTCTAGAAAGAGAGAAAATACCGCCAATACACAGCCCAACTATGGGCCGTTCGATAGCTTCATTCCTCTACCACTTATTAATTTATTATACTTTTGTAGAGTCTAGTGAATCAATGAACTTAGGCATTATGATCCACTTTACGTAACTATGTAAATATGTATCTACTTGCGTTATAATACATTAGTATGAAATTTATATTTGCTGTGCTTGCTTTTTTCCCTACTTATACTTAACTCACCATACACATGATTAACTTTACACTTTATTGCAAAAATAACATCAAATACTGGACATGATGTCACAAAGCATTCTCTACCAATCGACCTGTAGGAGCGTGTGAAAAATACCCTATAGGTACTTATCTGCCCAGTTTTATTTTACAGTTGCTTATAGAACGTTCACTTCATTATCTATGTCTATGAATTTGGTGACTCATTTCTTTGTCGCACTATCCGTAAAGGCCTGCTCACGTGTTCCTTCCTTTCTACAACCTGGGATCCTCTAAAAGAGGTGTGAAGAAGCAACATGCAGGCCGGCCGGGTGAGGATGGCTGGTGTGGCGGGTAGAACTGCTGCCGCAGCTATTTTCATGTCTGGGTTTCACCGTCACTTAACATCAGGTGGGGTGGAGTCATTTGTCGGACCGTTCTATACAAAATAAAAGGATCTCACCCAACTTGATTCGGACGATATCTCTCACCTTAAACAGATCATCCAGCTGCTCTATATTCTTGTCGACAATCTTCAGCACTTGTTCCACCTCCATCACCGAATGGTCTTGGCCGTTCACCAGATGCAAGTACAGATCAGTCTTGGTATTATCCACCGAACCGTCTTTATTCTCGTGGACTCTTAAATCGTCGATGTTGACAACTGCATCGGCAACGCGAGCAAGACGGTCCCGGAATATGTGTATCTTGTCTCTGACTTCGGACGGGTGCGATCGTAATACAAAGCGTACGCGTTGGTCTTCGCGTAGTAGGTATATGAATACGTGAGCTTCGTCGCGCAACCCGCCGGTGTCGTTTGCTAGCACCTGTAAATTTTTGAGATTTGAAGCTGATTTTAAAGGTTCTGCATCAAAGTAAAATTACATTTGACAATAGTTTATAGAAGCAGCCTAAGAAATATTGTAAAGAATTCGACACGGCCATAAGGACAGCGGTAGCGTAATGGTCAGTGTATCCGCCCGGATAGCAGAGGGTGCCGGTTCGTGTCCCGTCTGCTGCCTGGTCCTCGTGGAATGTTTTCTTGTAAAAATTTCTTTCGATTTAAACACACATTCTAGCAGTTAAATGCTTAAAAATATATAAATATATGTACAACTAAAATTGCTATTTCTTCTTTCAAATGTTTAGTACTTGAAAAAGGTATTCGTTTGACTTGTAGGTTACCTACAATGCGAAGAGATACGAAGTTCTTTCCTAAATAGAATGATTTACCTTAATATCGAAATAGCCCTTCATCCCTTTCCGCGAGTCAAAGTTTAGAGAGATGGCGCCACTGTCCACGTAAACCAGGAAAGGTTATCCAGACCTGCCGTCAAGGTTTCCTACATAAATTTAAAGACTAACCTTAAAATCGAAATAGCCCTTCATCCCTTTCCGCACGTCAAAGTTTAGAGAGATGTTGCCACTGTCGAGAGTTTCTTTCCTAAATAGAATGATTTACCCTAAAATCGAAATAGCCCTTCATTCCTTTCCGCGAGTCGATGTTTAGAGAGATGGTACCACTGTCCAAAGTTTCTTTCCTAAATAGAATGATTTACCTTAAAATCGAAATAGCCATTCATCCTTTTCTGCGGGTCGAAGTTAAGAGAGATGGTGCCACTGTCCAGAGTTTCTTTCCTAAAAAGATTGATTTACCGTAAAATCGAAATAGCCCTTCATTCCTTCCTGCGGGTCGAAGTTTAGAGAGATGGTGCCACTGTCCAGTTTCTTTCCTAAAAAGAATGATTTACCTTAAAATCGAAATAGCCCTTCATCCCTTTCTGCGGGTCAAAGTTTAGAGAGATGGCGCCACTGTCCACGTTGACCAGGAACGGTGATACCGCCAAGTTCTCCAGGCCTTCAGTTAAGGTTTCCTTCACTTCGCCCATGAGGTAGTATGTTATCTTCGCATTGTCACCTATGTCGATGTCTTCCGCCTGTGAGCAACATTATTGAAATATCAAGAAATAATATGTAAAAGTAGTGTAGAGTAGTATGTAGTTCTAAGAAGCTCGATGTCTTCCGCCTGTGAGCAACATTATTGAAATATCAAGATATAATATGTAAAAGTAGTGTAGAGTAGTATGTAGTTCTGAGGAGCTCGATGGCGCAGATGGTTAGCGCGTTCGGCTGCGATTGGTGAAGTTAAGCAACTTTCGCAGTGGTCGGTCATTGGATGGGTGACCAAAAATGTTCTAACTCGAGTTCCTCCGTGTTTCGGAAGGCACGTTAAGCCATTGTTCCCGGCTGCATCTGCAGTCGTTAGCACCCGCTAATCTTCCTATTCCAGCCACAGGGAAGGCCTGTGCCCCAGCAGTGGGAACATTAATGGGCTGAAGATGATGATGTAAAAGTACTAATTATTTGTGTATCAATATCGTTTAAGTCGAAGAGGAAACAGCAGTGCACTGCACTCGAGTTTTTTATTTGTTTATTTATAAAACTTTATTGACTACAAAAATCGGTGCAAAAGGCGGACTCAATGCTAAAGCATTTTCTGCCAATCAACCTTTGGGAAGTAAGATAGATGCGAAGGCGGCAAAAGCTAATAGATAATAAATTACTATAATACATATACTACATAACAAATATATACACAGATAAATACATTAATGTATACAATATAAATTAGGTACAAATAACCATATGATGATTATTTAAGTTAATGATAAATAGAATTTATTATACATGATTTGTAGCAAATGAGCGTGAACCTTTCGCTTAAAATTAAGATTATTGGGAGACCTATATGACGACCTCCGTGGCCTAGTGGTTTGTTCGCCCGGTTTCATGGTGTCGCCTACTCGAGAGGTCCCGGGTTCGAATCCCGGTGGGGGCAGATGTTTGTGTGATGAATACGAGCATTTGTACTCCAGTCATGGATGTTAAATAATATATAAATATACTTATATATGTACACTAGATGTATTCTATCCGTTACCCTAGTATACCATAACACAAGCTTACTTTGGGGCTAGGCTAATTGGTGTGAGTGTTGGCAATATTTATTTATTTATTTTACCTTCTGATAGAATCGGGAAGTTCTAGACTTACTGAGATACCTGTCTATCTGATGCCCCTCACTAAAATTAAAGGGATCCCAAATAACACTGTCGACCGTATAAGTATAAGTTGGGCGCCATTCATTTATTATGTAAGACTATTTGAGCTAGTTATTAACCCCGTCATCGACTATTATAAGAAAAAATAAGAATAGACCAATCTCCCCCCCCCCCCCCTTAATCGTCCTACGTAATAAACGAAATGCCCCTTTGATAATAGGGATGATGACTAAATTTTTTTTCTTCGTTTATCAGGTAGATTATCAAAAAGTATTGGACACGTTTTTTTTCTTTTTTCACATAATAGAAACATTGCAGAGATATATTGATTTGAAAAGTCGCATGACGTCACGTTTGAGTACACTTATAAGTGAAAATTCACTCAAAAGTGACGTCACGAGCCCCTACTCCCAAACTTTGACGCGCTATAACTTTGTCATTTTTTGGTTGATTGTCCAAAGAAAAAATACGTGTCCATTATTTTTTGATCATCTAACTGACGGACTAAATAGAATTTCATTTAATGTACCCCGTCATCACCCCTATTCCCACAGAACACCGAACGAGGTTAAAAGGGTGATTGATTATAGACCGTTCGTAACCGATGTTGCCGGTTCGGCTACACTTCCACCTAATAGATAATAAGCCAATCAAACGACGCCACATCAAACAATTGAACCAATTAGCGCTCGCACCCGAGACCAACGACGCAATCAGAACCAAGTTTTCGTCAAGTTATGAGCATTTCAAAATCTCACTCAATACATATTTTTAAAAGAAACCTCATTTTGATTACCTACCTAATTATTTAAATTGTAAAAAGTGACAGACAAGGCAAGTCACATATTAAACAAAGAATAACATAACACAGCTAATGATACTGGGTCATATATATATTTATTTATTTTCTAGTTTCCTGTTCATTTTTACACTTATGCACTATTTATCTAATTATCAATGTATTCGTATTCTTTATTAAATTTATTATATTTTAAGCGTCCACCATACAGGCCCTGTCAGAATACCAGCGTTGTCGTGACACGTTTAGTTACATGTCACCGCAGCATTATGCTTAGGCAGGGTCCTGATTGACCATTATGATACTTTTATATATGTTTTTTATTTTAGGAGTTTATAATTATATGTTTGTGTGTTTTATTGGTCAATAAAACAGGTCTCTCTCTCTTTCTCTCTCTCTCATTTACTCAAACATAACTGTGGCGCGCCTACCCCGCCTACAAGCCCTTCTAACCTCTTTATGTTTCTGTGGTAATTCCCATGTTTACGTTTAAGTTTTATGTTACCTTTACGTGCATGAACTCGATTCCGAAGTCCGCTTCGGTAGTGACACCGCCTGTAAATATCTTCCTTGTGAATCTCGGCGGGTTGTCATTGATGTCGTTCACTTCGATGAGAACTCTGAGAGAACTGACTCCATCCACGTCGGCTTGGTAGTTGGGAGAAATTACGCAGTCTTCTGTAGCCAGGATAGTTAGATTGTAGAAAGATATTTGTTCACGATCCAATGGCTGCACTGTTGACAATCTAAAAAGAGATTGGAATGAACTGATGTTTTAAAAATTCGTTACCTTCATAGATGTAGAGTGCGCAACACTTGTGAAGAAGAGAAAAAACAGACAGCACATAGTCGTCTACGTACTGTGTTTAAAGTCTGTTCCATGGTTAAATCTTCAAAAATAGAGAGGTTTTAATATAGGCAGTAGTGTTGCATTAATCAATAAAATTCCACAAGATTTAATTGGGCTTCACCTCTCACTATATTTGAATCACATGTGAAGAAGACCCTAATGAGTAAAGGTTATTACAAACTGGAAGACTATTTAAGGTATCAAAATGCATGGAAACAATAGTCTCTGCTTTTATGTGTTAACAATACTTTATGTAGCATTATCCTTTCTTATTAATTCATTATAGGAAGCTGGAAGCTGTCTCATATATAACGACAATTATATTATTTCTACTACCTATGTTATCTACAGATCATGTGATATATCGCTTCGCGCTACACGACGTAGTGCGCTGCAGTAGGAGAATCGTCTTAAAGTCTCTGCGGTGAACTTCTTCGCTCAACCATATTCCCTAAAATATGGTAGAGCGAAGCGATGGCTGGTCTATGCCTCATGCACGTGAACCAGTGGGTGCAGCCAGTGGGGATGAGTGTGCTCTGTACTATATGTACACACTTATATGGTAACTTTGCTAAAATGGTATTTAATTTTTTAATACTTATTTGTACTGCACGAAACTGTTATTTATATTAAGGTATCCATTATACTATGTTGACTATTCAATAATTGAAATTGAGTAAGTGTTACTGTTTTTTTTTGTAATTGTTTGCAGTGTCTTACAGATAAATGACAATAATTTTTAATAACAATTATATTTATTTAATTTTAGATTGTTCGTTTTTTTTTTAAATAGATTGTAATTGAAAATCAACTTACTTATGCGTACTTCTCTGCAGTTCAAAGGCGTTTCCCACATTCCCCTCCACGATATAATAGCACACTGGCAACACTGGTTCGTCGCCTCGGTCTATAGCGTCTCTTTCGATCACGCTGGGCAAGTACACTTCATACTTGGGCAAGTTTTCGGTCACGTTAATATTGAACATCTTGTATGGAAATCTGGGGCGGTAACTGTCTACATTCTGTACGTAGATTGTGAGATCCAAGTCTGAGCTAAGGGGCGTCGGCAATCCTAAGTCGTAGGCCTCTATTCTCAGCTGAAAATAAATTACAATTTGTTTAGCTCATAGACATAGACAATGGACTTGTCGACACATGAATAAAAGTAACTAATCTGTAGAAAGAAAAAAAACAATCATCAAATGAACTTTTATCAAGTGTAATTTGACAGATTTGTATGAGAATGCACAAAATGGCCACTTAAAACCGGCCAAGTGCGTGTTGTGCCACGCGCAGTGTAGGGTTCCGTAATTGCCTGTCACAATCTATCCAGCAGGAGTCTTTATTTTCTTTATCGGAAATTAGGAAAAACAAATAATATCAATCTATGTATATCAACTAAAATACAGTTACGTGTCGGGATGGGGTTCGAAATTATATGCCAGTTCACGCTTGTCAGTACTTTATTCACCACACAGTTAACACACTATGTTAATCACAATATACTCACTAAACACTGTACTTCACTAAACAATCGTACTTGAACACTTTATTTGCACTTTGTTCGCCTTTGTATTCGTTCTGAAATCGCTGTTGATACTCAACTGTCATCGCCGTTATCACCTTGAAAGTACAACTGACTGCTGCGCGGCGCCGATCGTGCTTATATACGGCAATGAACGCATATAAAAAAAGTCCCATTGAATTGAGGGTTAACTAGCACCCGCGAGTGCGTAGTACCTACATAGGTAACGCGCATATGTTAACAAGTGCAGATGTCGTTGCACTTTCTCCCTTACGTATAAGGCTCATATTAGAATGAGCGAATCGCGGTGTTCTGGTAAAATCGGACTCCAGTATTTTTGCGGTTTTGTTTCGAGAGCATTTGTGACAATACCTAAATCAAAGTAAAACTGCGTCTCAAATTCATAATCAATTCGATACCTATATATATATATATATTTAATACCCTACACCCGGCTGTAGGCATATGTCGGACTCTTACTAAAATACCCGTAGTTCATGCACATGGCGAAAAGGGCTTCACAAGCTTCATTTGAAGCGATTTTGCAAACGGAACCCTAAATCTAAAAATAGTCTTAGGAACCACAACATAATTTTAAAGGACCTATTCAACAATACTCCACACGATGGGGTAGATGATGCAAAAAAATAATCATCCCCACCCTTTGTCGGCGTGATCGATATAAATAACTCCACAAAATTACAGCTCTCTAGTGCTAATAGTCTCCAAGCGAAACCGGGGACGGACATGACGAAACTATAAGGGTTCTTTGTCAGGACTACGGAACCCTAAAAAATGAAACGTCATTAATGTCGAATTCCAGAATTCTCAGATGAAACATATTTTAGATATTTCCTCCATCTCTGTCTTGCTACGGACCACCACAAGTAGTAGTACTGTATAAGCGTGTCTAAAACCCTCAAACGTCGCGACACATATTTGTCACTCGACCGTGACGTCACACTGACGTGTCCAATCAAAACGCGGTTTACCCTCCCGTCCGCCACCAACCTTGGTGATTCCGATTTCAAACAAAAATTGTGGGAGTGCTCTACTTTTTTATTTTTATTTATTTGTTAGAAGATTTACCTATAGACAAATAGCATCATTAGTTAGCACAGTTAATACACATATGCTAATCCACTATTAAATACGTGGTATTATGGTCTTACCTGGTAAGTGGTTTGCTTGTCTCTGTCTAAAGGCAGTGAAGTCTTCAATATCCCGGTAGTTGCGTGGACTGAGAAAGTTCTCCAAGCACCGCCCGCGTCTTGTCTCACGCGGTATCTGACAGCACCGTTCGGACCTATATCCGCGTCTATGGCTCTCACTTCTACGACTTGAGTGCCTATAGTTGCGTTCTATAAGGAAAATATATGATTGGAGATGTCAAAGCTAACTGCCACAACGAAAGACTTAGATTAAAGTCAAATTTTATTTATTTCATTGTAAAAATACCGAGTGTGTCAATATTAACTATTTACGAGAGCAAATCAAGTGGTGGAAAAAATTGGCCCGGTCCTATTTCAAGGCTCGGTTTTAATTCTATCGTCTTTTCAGCAAGGGAACAATTAGACATTAAAAATGGAATTTGAAATAAAATATCTGTGAAGAAAGAGCTTTGCAAAGTTTGTATGATGAATCTGATCACAAGCCTTTGCGTGTTTACTTTGAGGTTAGGTTAATTGCGCGAGTGTTACAAATATGTATTTGTACTCAACGATATTAAATAGATACAGCACGTGCGCTAAAAATGTGTCCCAATCAAGAAGTGCTTGAACACCACTCAAGCACTTCTTGGTTCACAGACACGCGCGGACCGTTGAAAAGTCAAGTGCCGAGGAGCTCTGTGAAAAAATGTGAAAAACTATTTGTAGCATGTAAAATGTGTTTTTTTCGACAGGTATTTAATCAATGTTTGTTAATTTAACGCATTTGAAGCAAGTTTTGTTGTAATACCTACTATAAACTGATTTAATAGAAAATATTTGTGATATTCAAATGCATGGTTGATAATATAGCCGTCTCTTTTCTTCGCGGTCCGTACCTGCTATGTTGCTATAAGCGTATTCAGAATTGCGCGTAGAGTCATATAGCAATAAGTCGTAAAATTTTACGAGCTTGCATTTCGAACTGTCATAACTCTTTGACGCATGCGTTTTAATTAAGACTTTATACACTATGTATTAAAGGTGACCTTCAATTTTTAAATAATGCCTTATTTATTTTTTACTACGCGATCATTGTACGGAGCTCCGTAGAACGTCCAAAGTACCTTTTGGACAGATTTCGGGCACAATTTTGTTCGTATTGGTGTATCTAGGGTAACTAATATCGTTGCCCCGGTCACTTGTTTCAATTCTATCGTCTTTACAGCAAGGGCTCAATTAGTAATTTTAAAAAATGGACTTGGAAATAAAATAAATCCGAGCACAAGCCTTCAGAGTGTTTACTTTGAGGTTAGGTTAATTGCGCGAGTGTTACAAATATATATTTGTAGTATAATAACTACCTCTGGAACTTTGATGGTGACGTTTTGTGGGGGATGCACGAATACGGGCGCGTGGTCGTTATAATCAGTGACACAGAGTCTCAGTTCACCCCGCACAGAATTTGCGGGTATTCCCAGATCCCTCGCTTCAACGATCAATGTGTAGTTGCCGAAACGATCTTTGAGAGATTGCCGTGCGAATAGCCGGCCAGTGTTCGCTTCACCGCCCACTTGTTCGAAGCGGAATAGCTCTGTAGACAAAAGGTTTTGCATTGAGAAATTAATAATAATCTTATACGGGAGATAAAATACTCGTTGCAGATGTCGTGACAAATGTATGGTCAAATGGTTATGGAACTGAGGTCCTCTCTACCCTCTCTTTTGTATTGTCCTACTCATGTGGCTCTGTGTAATTGGCGACTACAAGGAAATCGATAATTATATGGAAGGAGTGATATCAATAAACAATGATTATAATTATGAAAAATTAACCACTGATATGGAATAACGACAAAAAATTACTAAATAAATGGGACAAGTGTAGGAAGAATGGCTTGGAGAAAAAAAAACAATAAGAAAGAAAGTAGAAGAGATTGCCAGTAGATAAGGGAGATTGACAGGAGAGTACATAATAGATTCCACATAAATTGGGATCAGAAGAGAAAGAAGTCTAAAGTTCAAATTTAGAGTTAAAAATCCTGCTCTCTTTGTGAGTTTACCTTCAGGCGGACCTGTACAGTGGATTTGGCTACAATTTTCTTACAAAAATCTTAATCAAGTTTGAAATTTGGTTAGGAAAGTCCTAGTTTGTGGTATGTAATCTACAAATTAAACCGAACACTGAATATGGTAACACCGAGGCTGAGCGTCTATAGCTCGGTGTTACCATATTTGGTGAGCGGACACCTACTTTTCTTTTTATTGATCAAAGAAAAAAATATTTATCATGCTACTATTTCCGTTCGAGGAGTCATGAGAACCTTCTTCATTGCAGGAATATTGAATTAAATAATATCTGTCTTATACAAAGTTAAGGACGGAGGAGAAAAGAAAGACACTAGGAAAACAGAGTCGAAGAGATTCCCTGTTGATACAGAAGATTGGGAGGAAATGACATGTATATTGCAAGTAATTTGGGATCAGGTCAGAAAAGTCTTGTGTTGAAAGGTTTTAGGATACTCTCCAACGTTGAAATTAGATTCGTCGTCGTGACCTTAGTGTCGGTGAATTCGGCAAACAGTGTATTCGGCAGGAGTCTTCTGTGAGGTAGAAAAGTCTTACCAAATCTAAAATTTGAGATGAGATTTCTCGTTTGTAGTTTCTCTTACTAACCGTGTCCTTTTCCAGCAACCAGATGGAATTGTACTCTTCCATTAGGCGATGCGTTATCATCAGCGTCGGTGGCAGAGACAACCAGTATCGGCTCGCGGTGGTTATGGAATTCAGTGATTGTGGTGCAATCTTCGGGTATTTGGAGCACTGGTGCGTTATCATTCACATCTTCCACGTGGACCCTGGGAGAATTAAGTATTTATATTATGAATAGGAAAACTCTACTCTTATTGTTGGTATATGTTGCCGTAATGAAATTTTCGACGTGAAATTAAACTAAATATAGTAGTAGTTTTTCAGGCTATCCAAACCCGTCAAAACTTTCCAATCACTTTTCAACCTGGGATCAATATTTTCTTATCACTTAAATAGAGCAATTAAAAAAATACTTTTGAAACTATTATTTTTAAGTTAATATATGTTTTATTTTATGCATTACAGTGATAGATTTGAGGATCTGGCGAACAAAACGGTATAATTAAATAAAATTGAATTTTACAGGAGCTGTATAAAACAGAATGACAAACCTACAGTGAGCTATTGGCATGGTTTTTAATTAATTAAACTGATACTAATTTTAACACTGTTTTAGGCGGTTTTCATTGTAAATTATTTGAGATTCAACTTCAACGGGCCCGAAACCTCCGGACTGTAAAAAATATAGTTTGACCAGATGCGTAATTATACCGTTCTGTTCACCAGCTCCTCATTTGTAAGTCTAAAGAAACTGTAACTAGTTTAATTAAAATAAGATTTAGATTTATTTTTATAATAAAAACTTACACGATTTGCTTGAACGCGTTCCTACTCTCACCGCTGAGGTAACCGAACTGATAATTGTCCCACGCTTCCACCACGAGGTTGTATGAAGGCTGCGTCTCGCGGTCTAACCATTCTGACACGGTTAGAGCACCGGTGTCTGGGTTGATTAGGAACTTACCCTATTTACAGAAAGAAAATAAAATAATTATATTTCAAAAAAGAAGATACTTGGGTGTCCCCGAAGTAAAGAGACAAAATAATCTTAACAATATTTAATAAAAATAATCTAATAATATAAATGAATTTGGTATGCAAATGAATGTAACACGAATTATTTTTTTATTCCAAAGATACCTTTGTATCCATTTTTTCTCAGATAAATAGCAGCAACCGCCGCTACTCCTTTAGACAATCTGGTCCATCGGAATCTGGATTGAATAAATGATTTTTTATTTTGAAAGATGAAAATAAAAAATCATTTATTCAGTCTAGGCTGTTACAAGCACTTGTGGAGGTTAAGAAGCTACGCCATCGGTTCGCAAACTACGGCGGGAGACCTTATACTGTGAAGAACCGGCAAGAAATTCAGCAAGGGCTGTTTTTTTCTCCCTGTATTGTTATATAGTCGTCAAGTTGAAATATGACTTCAGAGATATTTCTAAAGTCACCTTCTATTACATCAAGTATAAATATATAGTTAAATAAATTTTATAGTTAACTTTATATTTAGTGTAAAGGAAGCGCCATTAGATAGGTACCATATTACTGTTATGAAAAATGAGTAATACTCATGAAATAACAAATTACAAGAAACACCATGTGTCCATGCATTACAATCATTTAGATAATCATCAACTTTATAATAGCCCTTATTCATAAGAGTATTCTTGATCTGAGATTTAAATTTGGTCAGTGAAAGCTCAATCAGATCTTGGGGAACTTTATTAAACAATGCAATACTACAACCCAGAAATGAACCTCTTGATTTTTGGAGCCTGAAACATGGAACGGCAAGCTTGTTCTTAAATCTCGTGTTAAAGTTATAATGCGTTTGACTTTTTTTGCAAATGCATCATAGTTTTTTTTACATGGTTTATATTTCTTGATGTGGATAGAGTCCGTGGTAACGTCGTCCCGGAATCTCTTTAAAATCAGTCTCTCCCGTTTCTTCATACCGCTTTATAATTCAAAACAGACTAGTTCTTCTATCTTCCTCTTGAATGAAATGACGTACAGTCTCAGATTTCCCATGACACAAATAGTATTTAATAACTCTCTTTGCCAACAACACTTGTTCGGCTTGCTTCATTTTCAAAAAAATACAAAATGATTTGGAAACCCCAACGATATTAAATACCCTAGATACACCACGAGGGCTCAAAATGTGTCCCAATCAAGAAGTGCTTGAACTCCACTCAAGCACTTCTTGGTTCACAGTCACGCGCGGACCGTTACAAAGTCAAGATGCCACAGAGCGTGAAAAAATGCGAAAATAATACTTAGAGTACGTAAAGTGTCGTTTTTTCGACAGGTATCTAGGCAATGTTTGTTAATTTAACGCTTAACCTAAACTTAGGAAATCCTCCTATTTTGACATATATGTTATCTATGGTTACCATGACTACCATTTATTTAAATTTTCCGTGGCCTGTTTGATTTAAGAACAGTCTCTTTACTTCTGGGACACCCAAATGATATCCTCATGCATGTCATCCTCAAAAACTAAAAACCTAAAATTACCTTAATTTCAACTTGTGTTAGTCGCGTTTAGGCTGTTTGACAGGATGAAAAATAAAGTAACAATTATTGGCATCTGTATTTATGCATAATAGCAGCAATCTTACTATTCTGAGAGAACAAATAATTATTGACTTTTCAAAAAAATCATTAAATAGATTGTTTTTGTTCTATAGTATGATTTTGTTTGATTAGATTTTATTTACTGATATATATGGGTTCCATATACATTAGGAAATAACGTGAACATCATATTTAAGAGGTATGACATTTGCCCATATTCGCCGGAAACCGCATCTTTGGCGGTCATGTTGGTGACTAATATCTCTGCAATAAGAAGATATTTAAAGTTGGTGATATTGTAGATATTTATTTATTTATTTATTTGGGATAACAACAGCCATCAATCAAGTATAAATTTTTGGTTTACAGTTACACAGTTACAGTAAGGCCAATAACAGTCACCCACTATTAATTTTATTTATACAAAAAGAAACAGTTTAGTACCACACATATCCAAAATATGTTTAGATTTTTTTAAAATGATGTTTACATTTTGTAATGCTTAAGGATGTAAATAAAATAAAACTGAAACTAACTGACTAATATTAAGACAATACCCAATGAATGAGTCACTTCGATATAATTGATATAAAAATGAGAATTAAATTTTTTAAGTATTGGTTGTAAAACATTTGCATACATACTGATTACTGTTAAAATATGTTAAGGATACTTGCCTGCGTGGACATCCTGTCTAGGAGGTATGTTATCTTCCCGTATTCGCCGGAATCTGCATCTTTGGCAACTACATTGGTGATTGTGGTTCCAGGCTCTACCGCTTCTGATACTCGATACTCGAACGAGGATGTCTCGAATACGGGATTGTTGTCATTTTCGTCCAACACCTGTATTTATTAAATAGAATAACGTAATCAAGGGCGGATCCAGAGGGGGGTCATGGGGGTCATGACCCCCCCCTGGGCTGGGTCCATCAGTACCCACTTCACAATCTGTACCCACTGTGACTTGACCACGACTATATGTGCCAAAGCTGGATCCGCCCTTGAACGTAATATGCTTCGTAATTTGTAACTGCAAACATTCCCTTTGTAGGAATGGACACAAAATCGAGATCCAACCTAATCAGAAATAAAAGCAAGGAACTCCGTGATAGTGAATGCGAAGATATCAAGTAAGCTGCGATCATACAACACACAAGATTCTAATAAAATCTTTTCTTATAATGATCTAATAAGAATATTTGCTTATTAGGTAGACTGGTTTGCTGGACTAAGAATGAAGGTAAAACGTATCTATTACTGTTAACTTTCCTGAGCTATTAAGATTTACTAAGAAGCTTGCCTTTCAAAGCTTATACTACAGTCTACTATTGACTGGCAATCGGTCACTGAGTTTTCGATTATTTCCACAAAACATCTTAGACTCAACCAAAACCATGGTGGTCTCATTAATAATAATATAATAATAATAATTTATTGGCATCACTTTATTGTTTGGGACATAATAATCTGAACTCTGCCCTCTGGAAAAATTTACCCTGAGGGCCAGAAGACAGTGCTCTCCTCACTATTGTTAAGTTTACAAGGTATTGTAGTTGCGGTGGATATAATTATGTGCATTACAGCTACAATAATTCAATAATACTAAATAAATATGAAGGTGTTTGCTTTATAGACAATAGAATTATACATACCATATTCGTTTGATACCCTATCAATTAAGTAGACGATAATTAAGAAGATAGAAGTGGCGAAGAAAACGGTATAATTTTATGAAATAAAATTTTATAGGAGCTGCATAAGCCTACAGCGAACTTTTGGCATGGTTTTTAATTTATAAATTTAGTAATTTTAACACTGTTTGAGGCGGTTTTGATTTAAAATTGTTTGAGATTCAAATTTAACGGGCCCTAAACCTCCGGACTGTTAAAAAAATATGGGAGCGTGTACTTAAGTACGCGCGTGAGAAGTTATACTTCTTTTTGGAATTATTAAAAAATAGTTTTTAATTGCATGCAGATAATTAATTACAATAAGATAATAAAAGGATTGGAAAAGGATAGAGAACGCAGTCAATAAAGTTCAGTTTTAATTTGAAAAATTTAATAAATAATCAAAATATTCAATTTAAATCACTACTGAATAAAATTTATCAGCACATATAAATTTCGCATTTGTATAACATTATAACACGTGTTAAGAATATAGAAACTAGAAACATGTGGATAAATATTATAAATATGAAAACAGTGATCAGAGGCGACGAGCGTCCCAACATGTGCGACTAAGAGATCCTATTACTATTTGTTGGAAGCTTTTTTTCGAGACTTACGAGTAATGTGCGGTTTAGCGGCCGACTTCATGGTGTTACTTTTCTGTTACAGTGTTGCGCGCGCATCTTAAAATTTCACTCTCATCATATTTTCATAACGCGCCCGCGGCTAACTTCATTATGTTACTTTTGTGTTACAGTGATGCGCGCGCATCTTAAAATTTCACTCCCATAATTTTTTCATAACGCGGCTAAAGAAGTATAACTTTAAAAATGTAGTTTGACCAGATGTGTAACTATACCGTTTTGTTCGCCAGCTCCTCAATTATTATATGAAGATGAATCACCTGTATAAATAAGTCAGCTACGGAGTATCGTGGTGGAACGCCACTGTCCACAGCTTTAACAGTGAGGTTGATCCAAGGATACATTTCGTGGTCGATTTTGTTAGCGACAACTATTTCACCGGAACTCTTTTCTAGATGCACCATACTTAGTAGCTCTTCCGGACCTTGGGGAAATATGATATTTTCACGTAATGTCAATTATTTTTTGGATATTTGTTTCTTAGGTTTTCACGCACATCACTCATTAAATAAAACTAGTTTTTACGGGTTAATGCACGAAATTTTCGAAGGTAGCTCGACAAATTGAATAAAAGTTTTATTCTGACGACGTAGCCTGTAAAGGCTACGAAACATCAATAAATAAATAAAATGCAGTCGTTAGCATCGCCAATCCGCACTGGGCCCGCGTGGTGGGTCATGGCCCTCTCCCTATTCCATCCGTAGGGAAGGCCTGTGCCCCAGCAGTGGGGACATAATAGGCTGATGATGATTGTACTTATATTGATTCGGTCATTAAAATACAATTATAATAGATGTTCAATTACCTTCAAGGTAGTACGTCATAGTGCGATTCTTGTCTGCATCGTCTGCGGTGACTGTGCCTATGTAAGCTGCGTTTTTAGAATTTTCTGGTATAGAAAATCGATAGTACGGTTTCCGAAACCTCGGGTTGTTATCGTTTTCATCTTCCACTAGTATAGTGAGTGTAGCCGAGGCAGTTTGTCTAGGACCACCGTCTATAGCGGCCATATCTTCGACTGTTATCATCAGTTTTAAAACTTCTACTTTTTCCCTGTCGAGTAATCTGTAAGTGAACGCATACGATGTGGTGGCAATTCTTCTTCCATAGATATTACCTATACTGGTTTACAGCCGTACCCCGAAACATCAAATAAATTAAATGTTTCATTAAGGCACGTGTTGACCTATTTTATGGTTATCGCAAAGGGACAGCATCAATTTGGACCAAAATCAAAAATTTATTGCTTTCTCAGAGTGCGGCTTTTAGACAGGAAAGAGCGATTGGCTGGAGTATGTATTTCTTAAGCTCTTTCTGTATTAGAAATGTTATATCTGTACCAACTGTATCATCTTATGAGATCTCCAGCGGTAATCAAATTCGAAGGCGTTAAATCCTATTTTTCACAAGTCCAAAATATACTACAAAATATGCTTAGTATAGAAATTCAAATTTAAAAATCATTTATTAACTTTAGGCTTTTACGAGCACATGAAGTCGAAAACTACGCCATTGGTTCGCCAAACTACGGCGGGAGACCTTGTACTGAGAAGAACAGGCGAGAAACTCAGCAAGGGCTGCTTTTTTCTCCCTGTTTTATTTCATACGCGTCGTCAAATTGAAAGCAGACATCAAACTTGTAAACATGTATTGAGGTCAACTTCCATCTCATAATATGAAATAGATAGCAATTAACGAATTGACAAACAATAAGAGTTAAAAGAAAACCAAAATAGCAGGAAACTATTTTCAAAAATAAATTGAGCAAGTATATGAAATGGAGTAAGTGCAAGGTTCTCCTCTAAATTCTTTTTGAGGCCCCCAGTTTTAATATAACTTAAAGTTTTTCTCTTTTTAACACATTAATAAGTTTATATTGATGAATACAGTTCAATTTCCAAGGGGAAATTACTTACCTCACAACCCTCAGTGTTCCGTCAACTGAATTCAGTTCCCAAAGTGAGAGATAGTCGTATTCTGCCGGAGGTATAAGCACTCCATCATCGTCTCTCGCCAGGCTGTTTGCTTTATCTAAAGTGTACCTCAGAACCGGTTGTTCGTCAGGATCGTAAGCTTGAGCGTGGTAAATGAGGGTACCGACCTAGTTAAAAAAAAATAGTATATTGGAAAACATCAGTTGCATTTTTTGCAAAAACTCGTAATTTTTGAGCGCCTCGTTTACCCCATTAGAAAAGATTTTGACTATTTCCAATAGAAGTAAACAGTAGATTTATTATTCCTTTTGTAAGTTAATTTCGAATATTTGCAAATACTATTTTCCTTTTTTGTACTGATCGTTCTACTGCAACTAGTTTACGGAAAAAACGATAATATGCACATATTCAAACACCTCAATCTCTGAATAATGTTAAATAAATTAGATCAAATTAATTACTACGACACCAGAAAAATGTTTTTGTTGTAACATAATGTATTAGAATTTTGATTTTCCATCTCATTAATTATCAAGAAAAATATCTAACCTCAGTGAGGTTTCCCAAAAAATAATGCAGGTTTATCTAGTATTTTGATATTGAATTAAATAGTATTACTATCAAAAACTTTCATAAAACTAATCTACCATTATTGAACTACTGAAATATGTATATATTTTTATAATTAGTTCATTAATAATTATTTTATAAGACTCGAAACATCACCCGTAAAATGCAATATATACTAGTGCAAATCTACCCACGCGCCGTTTAGTACGGCAGCGGCGCAATTTTGTAAAAGGATAAGAGTCCTTTTTTGTACGGCCAGTTTCAATAATCAACCTCCAGTAAAAGGTAAGGATAATCTGGTACCGTTACTTAGCAACAGTTGTTAATATAATGTAAATAATAAACATATCTAGGCTACAAAACTTTGATATCTCTGGAGTCGGTAGGAGAGGAATTACTGCAGTTTGAATACCTATTGAAACTGGCCGTATGTAACTATGCAAACCACTTATGCTACGGGAATCATAATCAAAGATGGTAACGCAACCACCTAGAGTTCAGGGTTGTAGCTTGTGTGATTTTGTATTTAATCCTCTACTCATCAGAAAGAACAATTGTACAATAGTACCGTTTTTGCTATACAAACTTAAATTTGAACTTAAAATACAACGGCATTTGGTTTGAAAAGACATTGTTGTGCAAGTGTCAAACATTTATTTCTCACACCATAGACTAGACTTGGCAAAGATCACAGAACACCGCAAGAGATTATAGGGACCTTGTGGGCGGGACAGGCACGGCAGTTATCTGTGAGCAAATGCTCATAACTTGACCAAAACTTAGTCCTAATTGTGTTGTTGCTCTTGCGTCGGAGCGCTAATTGGTTCGACTGTTTGATGTCGCGTTGTTTAATTCGCTATAACCTATTAAGTAGAAATGTAGTGGGGCCGAGCTGGCGACATCGGTTCCCGTACAAACTGTATATGATAACCACAACGATATTAAATACCCTACATACACCACGTCCGCTCAAAATGTGTGCCTATCAAGAAGTGCTTGAACACGACTCAAGCACTTCTTGGTTCACAGTCACGCGCGGACCGTCGAAAAGTCAAGATGCCGCAGAGCTAGAGCTAATTATTAAATAGAAGAATGTATTAAAGGTGACTATCAATGTTTAAATAATGCATTAAATTGTTTTTGACTACGCGATCATCTTACGGAGCTCCGAGGATCATCCAATATACCTTTTGACAGATCGGCCACGATTTTGTTCGAGTTGTTGTATCTAGGGTATTGATTATCGTTGGATAACCTTTCTAACCTTTTTCTGTATTCTGTGGCAAAGATGAAAATGATTTAAATAATATCATGCTCCGGATTTCAGATATCTATATGAAAATGCTTACCTCTGTGTTCTCTCTAACCGCGATGGCGCCGGGCTCGTGTAAAACGGGCGGTTTATTGTTCACGTCCACTATCGTGATGTTTACGAGCACCGCCGCAGATAACTGATGTTCCCCAATACCGCCATCTAGCGCCACCTAATCAACAACCAAATGGTTATATTTTAAGCATTTAACTACTGAGGGGTCGCGTCCCGTCTGCTGCCTGGTCCGGGAGGAATTTTTTCTAGTAAAATTTTCTTTATATTTAACCACATGATTGTTAGTTATGATCTATCTGTATTTAGCTTAGCATTGATCTATAGTAGGGGAGCCCAAGCTTTACACAAGCGCGATTTAACAGAAGGGGGGCAACTTTGCACCTTGTGAAGTACTCCCATCGAACCTGAGCCCTCTATCTAAGGCCGAACGTTTAGAGCAGCAAAAAAAAAACAAAGACCATGACTTTTGGTCGCGTCCAAATCATCATCACTCTTTTGAATATTGCCACTGGAGGGTTCACTTAACGTTTCTAAGGAGGGAAAATTATTGAACTGCCGGTTTGAATGTAGTGGGGGTGGCCTTAAAAAGAGGTAGAACATAGGAATTCTTTGAATTTTGTCGTAAAAAAAAATTTATTGTAAGGGTCTGTTGCAGTAACTTTTCATGAGAATATTGTAATTTAGGCTAAGTTTTACTGTAAACAGAAGTTGGTTAGTTCAACAAAAAAAAAATATTTGTCGTTTCTTGAATTTTTTTTTTGCTTTGCGTGCAAGGTTGTTGAGTAAATACAAAAATATATATACTTGGGTTCCCCTATTACTATTTATCTCTTCACACCTAGTCCCAGGTAAAGTAGGCAGAGAGAAAAGAGCGCCATCATACATGGTCCGTATACACATATCGCTTTAATCACATACATTACTCTTTATATACACATTCGGCGATTTTGCGGCATCTGACGTCACCTACCTTCAAAATGCGATCAATTTCTTCGTGAGAGATGAGTCTTGCCTGGCCTTCTTCTTCTTCTTCTACATCCTATCAGTATCGTGTCATAAATGTATCTATTTCGTCATTCACTCATTAGACATTCTTTCCCTATGTCCGAACCAACGGAACATGCCTCTATCAATTTTACTTTTAATTTTACAACAATACTGTCTTCACTAGGACATGATACTGGTACTAGGAAGAATCGTACTGGTTCCAGATGTCATTCTGGATATAAACTAGCGTCTTCCTCTATCCGGACGGATCCACTAACCGCTATTATACCTTCTCTAAGACAAAAGGTTAACAACCATAAAAAGGTTTTTCAATTATATGTATATACATATCTTTATATATATAATTCTTCTGTGAGTGTGTATGTCACTGAACTTCTCTTAAACGACTGGACCGATTTTGATGAAATTTTTTGTGTGTGTTCAAGGGGATCTGAGAATGGTTTAGATTCACAATTTTGTCCGCTGGACAACCCCTATTTTTTTAGGGCGGTACGAAGTTCGCCGGGTCAGCTAGTATATATATATAATCATAATTAAATGCTTAATCACAAATAATTATTTGCATAGTCACCTCTCTTCAATTTAGTAGTACTGTAATGCGTTGGAAGTTTGGGAATAGCTACAGTTTTAGGTCTCTAAAATGTATTTTTTATTTTATTTGTATATAATTATATTAATTATAATTAACGTTTGAAATGTGAAATGTTGTAATCAGTCTGGTTATAGCGGCCATCTTTACTCTCGATAGAATCAATCTGTCTCAGACATTTCTTAGATTGCAAAGCAGCGCCATCTCTTCGCATTGTAGGTTAACTATAATGAAAACCTATATGAAGTTATATTCACTTACCACAGTGAGGGTGTATCGATTGCTCTTGGGATTGGTCTTGTCCGGGTCCAAGGAAGACCCGTTGGCGACGGAGACTACACCCGTACGACTGTCGATGACAAACTTATCGCTTGCGCCGCGTTGGATTCGATAAACTACGCGATTGTTGGGCGATGAACCGTCTGCATCGCGAGCTTTCACCTATAAAAGTAAATACTCGATTGAAACTATTTTGTTTTTTATATGGCTAGTAAACACATTTTCATCCCACCACCTCGGAAAGTGTAATTTTGCGCTTCGAAATCTGGCTGGAAAATTCTATTTTATTCGCTTGAGCGGCAAAGTAGATTTGAATTTAGAACATCACATATAATGAGTACTCAATATAATTGTAAATTCAAAACGTCATTAAACCTATTTAATGTAACCTCTATGGTGCCAAATTTATGATTAGAACTTTTTAAATTGTGAAAAAATTTAAATTTGGAACCTTCTTGGTTTCTTTGTTTTATTTGCGTGCTTCGCGCCATTCTAGTTTTTCACGTTTTATTGCTTAAATATTTTGTCATTATAAATTGTTTTCTTTTTCATTTTGTCATTTCCTCGCTGAGGTGGGATGAAAAGTTACGTATTGCACTCGAGTGGAAAGATTTTTCACCTTGTGCTCGTTTGTTTCCCTCGCTGACGCTCAGGATTCTAATTTAGAATCACTCGCTGCGCTCGTGATTCAACTTTAGAATCCTTCGCTTGCTCGGTCATCCAAATCGAGCACGCGGTTAAAAAGGAACTTTCCACTCTTGTATAATAAATAACTATTAAAAAAGCTAGGGTAGAATAAAGATAGTGATCGTAGTTTGAGCACAGTTAGACAGAAACAAAAGATTACGAATATTGATGTTATTGTGAAGTAAGAAAGATGTCAGTCGGCAAAATGATATTTAATGTTTCATTCTTCTTTAATTGCTCTACACTTACATACAGTTTTTATTTCTGTTACTAAGGCCCGCACTTAATAGCTTCAATCAATTTTGAAGTACTTTGATTGGTATTAAATTTGAACAATTTCTTCGACTGCGGGGCTTAGTAATACAAAAAATATTGTCACAAACGTCCTCGAACCAAAACCACGAACATACTAGAAACAGATTTAACCAGAACGCTGCGGCTTGAGGTCGAGTGGTGTGTTTCATTCTAATGTGAGCCTTATGCAGTGCGGCGTAAGGGTGAAAGTGCAACGACATCGGCAGTTGTTTACAACTCATGCGCGTTGCTTATGTATTTGTATTAAGTACTCGTCGGTGCTAGTAAACCTCAATGGGCTTTTCTGGAATGCGTCGATTGGTGTATTTCAGTCCAGTGGCCAGTTCAGTTTCAACAGCGATTTCGGAACGAATACAAGGGCGAGCAAAGTTCAAGTAGTGTTCAAGTGCGATTGCTTAAAGATTGTATAGTGTACAGTGAGTGTAGTGTTGTGAGTTTAAGAAATAAATGTGTGAGCTGTATAGCCGAGCGTGAACTGGCATATAATTTCGAACCCCATCCCGACGCGTAACAATATTTATTAAAGTATCGATTAAGAATGAAAATAAATTCTCACCTCTAAAACACTCGTCCCTCCAGGCATGTCTTCTGGTATAGATCTCTTGTAGATCATTTGCTGGAACATCGGCGCATGATCGTTCACGTCTTGAACGTAAATTGTGACGGGCACCGTAGAAGACAGCGCCGGCACACCGAAATCACGAGCTCTTACCTGAGAGAAACCATATTTCCAATTATGAGAGTAGTTAATTATATTGTTATTTTAAGTATTGAACTCTTAGATTAAAACAAAAAAGGAAGATACGGCATCCGCTTAAATTATGGTGCATGGCCACAATTCGCTTTAGTCACAATTAGACATTCAAACACGCTACATGTGAACTCAATATAACAATATTGCGTATATTCTGTGTTATAAAGATAAAACAATGCCTTTGATGCTTTTATAAAGAACACAAATAGTTCAAGATCAAATAACAAATTACACGGCAACACTTTTCAATCGTAAAACTATAAACATGTTTTTTTTTCAAAAAGCACGGTTTGTCATGAATATTATTTAAGTTTCGCCATTTGTTATCAAGAAAAGGACAACAAACAGCTCAGCCGTTTGTAGAGAGAGAGAAAAGAAAACGCAGGCGCCAAGCTAAGCGACGCGGACTCGCCGTTTAGCTCGCACGCACTGCGTTGAAGCGTAAAGTTCTGTCTCGCCCGCTCGATTGAATGTATATATACAGAAGTGTGCGTGTGTGAGGATTTGCTTATGTTGTGGAGTCGGAGACTATTTGATACGACTATTATTTTACTACTACTATTTTAAACTACTGACTATTATTTGATACTAGTATGAGCGTACCGTATCTTCCCTTTTTGTTTTAATCTAAGATTTAACTGTTCCGTCCGAATAGCAGAAGGCTGGAATGAGTGGATTTTTGTCTAGTAAAAAAATGTTTCTTCTTCTTTATATTTATGGGGTAGTTGACTTTTTTGAGTGCCTTGCCATTTTAATAAACAAAATGTGCGTAGTATAACTCAGGACGGATATCATTGTCCAACTAAGTTTTATACCCAAAAAACACAATGGGTAGTTTATAAATTATATTCTTGATGATTCAGATCAAAAGACTTAGATATTGGTCCTATATCTTGATATAATTTATTATCCGAATTATGTGAAATAAAATACAATCTTTATTTATATATTCTTAAGTATACTTAAGCATTCTTAAGTGTTTTATTGTTGAGGGTAGTTGTTGGGTTAGTATGTTACATTATTATTATCACGTCAATATACACATATATTTAAAGAGGTTGAGAATATTTACCGTTAGATGTATAGGTCTAATGTTGCCGTTGTCGCCGGGTATTTGCTCGAAATCTAATTTTCCAACAGGTGTAATGATGCCTAAATTGGGATCTATTGAGAAATTGTTTTTGTAATCACCACCTACTATGGAATACTCGATGTGACTATTTTTAGTACCTGTAATACAATGTGGTGTTTAATATTAGATTAGTTCAGGTAAATTTGCTAAATCAACTATTTAAAAACACAAAACAGGGGCAGTAATTTTAGCAATAGCTCAAATCCTTAATTTGAAAAGACATCTCAAAAATGAAGTTTGTAAAGCATGGTTCCAAAATAAAGTAGTTTTTAAGATAACGATTAATTAGGGGAAATAGTCTTTACATATTACAAAGAAATCTAAACTTTAGTGACGTATTTGAGCATTGTAAGTTCGCTTATTGTTCCATGGGATTAGAGTCAGACTTATACATTATCGTAATTTTTGGAAATCAAAATTATCATATATTCTCTAGAATACCAGTATCAGAATGAAAAGGTTCGTCACATTTTCTGTACTGATATGTTAGCATAAATGATTCTTGCACCAGTGCAAGCGTAAACCGACCTTAACGTGACGAACCTTGTCACACCACATACATCAGAAAGTAATTAAGAAAAATTGCAACCTCACCGTTCAAATCTATATCTCTGGCCTCTAAAACGAGCGGATTTTCGAATTGCCTCTCGTTTTCTAGCAACCTCGCCTCGTATTTATTAGCCAGGAACATTGGAGCGTTATCATTAACGTCCTCTATGTTGATGATCAGCTGGACTGTGTTCCTGTTACCTCTGCCTAAGTCATCTCTAGCCTCCACAGTTAGGTAGTGGCGGGAGACCAATTCCCGATCGAAACTATCGCCACCCGCTTGCTTTACAGTTATTACCCCAGATATCGGGTTGAGGTGTAATCTATAATATGTAAGATAAAACTCGGTTTACTACAGAAATTAAATTTATTTATTAGACACCACCACACAAGGTTACAATCCACGGAATTACACGCGTTCGCTCATACGCGGGGAATTCCCCATCATATCTATCAGTTCATTTTGACAACTAGTGCGGCCGAACTTAGAGCGAAACAATAGGGACGTTGCCAATCGATTTAAGTTCGGTTATTTCGTCTCATAAATAATAATTATGTATCATATAATGAGGTTAATGTATGTTCTAGCCAGGATTTTGTTAACGTGGGCAGGTGAAAGCAAATTAATGGGTTTTTTCACATCAGCCATAGTCTGTGAGGTTCTTCTCAGAATCGTTTTAAGGGGCTGGAACAGGTGAAAGAAAACCAAGATCCAGCTTTTTCGTGTGATCAAAAGTCTGCGAGATTCTTTTACTAGATGCGGTTCAACATATCAAACCTTTTTCCTTATTTTACCCGCGCGTAAATATCGAGAAAAAAATTAGGTACACGCAATTCCACTTTACACCTTGCTATGCTTATGGCTCAATGGTGCAAGCGCGTTCTGCCTGCGATTATTGATGTTTAGCAGCTTTCGCAATGAAAAAATTACTATCTCGACCTTCCCCGTGATTGCTGCATCAAACTTTGTTAGCACCCAACAACTGCACTGGCCTGGCCCCTATTGCATCCATAGGGATTAAAATATCATTATCATCGGCCTATTAATGTCCCCACTGCTGGGGCACAGGCCTTCCCTATGGATGGAATAGGGAGATTGGGTCATGGCTCACCACGCGGGCCCAGGGCGGATTGGCGGGTGCTAACGACTGCCGATGCAGCCGGGACCAACGGCTTAACGTGCCTTTGGAAGCACAGAGGAACTCGAGATAGAAGATTTTTGGTCATCCATCCAATGACCGACCATTGCGAAAGTTGCGTAACTTCAACGATCGCAGCCGAACGCGCTAACCACCTGCGCCATCGAGCTCAATTAAAATATGCTTGCATGCAAATGTGCATATGCATGCTTTAGAACTCAATTTTTTTATTTGCAAACTAAGTGTTATATTTGGTTCTTAAACATAAAAAATGGTATAGTACACCAATTAAATGGTTTGTGGTTGAAGGCATATTAAACCAACGAAAGCAAATAACAATGTTGTTAGGGCTCATTTTCGTTTGAGTTATATACATAAGGTAGACCTGTAATACAGTAGAAGGATATAATATGCTGAAAATAAAATACTTACAAATTAGCAATGCTCCCACCGAGGTTAGTATATCTAATGCCTCTTGTCCCATAATTATCAGAATCTTGATCGAGCGCTTGCACCCAGGCTACAGTCGTACCTACTCCACAGTTCTCAGGTACAGACACCATGTACAGAGATTCAGTGAACTCAGGGAAATTATCGTTTTCATCTTTGATGTGAACCATGATTGGTACAATACTGAAATATTATTGAAGAAAATTAATTTTATGTACACAAAAAATAAAAAATAACAACATACTGTGAAATGGGTAATATAGGTTTTAAGTATGTATTGGTTGTTGTTTTTATGTTGTTATGTTTATAATAAAGAGAAATAAATTAATAATTGGTAACCAAAACATAACAGTATGGACAACAATTGTCAGCAAGTTGTGCATAAGAAAAGGATGTAAATGGAATTTGTTACAAACCTCATTTTAGGATCTTTGGCAACAGTTTCTTTGGCGACTAGACTGAAGTTCATTACTGTAACACTTTCATAATCCAAAAATGATGCATCATTTACTCTTATCAAAAAGGAAGCCTCATTTATACCCTTAAAAGGTGTTACATCAAAAACACCATTATCACCTTGCAGGTATAATTCAAATGTTCCGTTCTTACCCTAAAATATCAAATAAGATTCACAATTAAAAACAATTTCTTTAAATATAATTACACAGATAAATTTATTTGTAACACAGTAGTGAAACTGAGTATAAAGTACCCCAGACTTATATGATAGTCTCAATCTAATTATCTAAAGAAGAAGGAATTTTTATTTTTATAGTGTAAAAAAGTCTATTGTTGCTTAATTAGAAAGCTAAACAACATTAAATTATCTTATATATAAAATTCTCGTGTCACAATGTTAGTTACCATACTCCTCCGAAACAGCTTGACCGATTTTTATGAAACATTATATGCATATTCACTAGATCTGAGAATGGGCTACTATCTATTTTTCATACCCCTAAGTGATAGGGGTTGTCCACACCTAACATTTTTTTAGATTTTGGTTCATCATCATCATCAGCAGCCTATCTTAGTCCACTGCTGGACATAGGCCTCTCCAAATGCACGCCACTCAGATCGATCTTGGGCTACTCACATCCAGCTCCTGCCAGCCACCTTGCGCAAATCGTCACCTACACTATTACATAACTACACTAATAGATTTTGGTTAATTTTTTGTTATTTTTTTATAATGTGGCATTAAAAATACATACAGCTCTAAATTTTCGCCCTTCTATCACCCATATTTTTATGGCGATACGAAGTTCGCTGGGTCAGTTAGTATATATATAAAACTGTTATTAGGTTATAAAAAAATAAGCACCTGATCATAATCATACACCTCAGGTATGGCATCTTTCAGGAAAGTTATTGGTGTGTTTTGTTGAGCATTCTCCAACACTTCTCCTATATACCTTTCACTTCGGAACCTTGGAGTTTCATCATTGACATCAGTTACTATGATTGTCACTTCTGTAGTAGCACTTGGCATGGGTGAGACTGCTCGTGATTCTTCAGTAGCCTGTATAAATAATATAAATAGATAGTAAAATATTGCTGTTTTTAGTCTAAACAATAGAATAAAAAAATATTACTGTTTACAATAAAAAGAAACATTGCAAAGCATAACAGATATCAATTTGGACCTAAGCTTTACCAATGGCAAATAGTCAAGACTTGAACTTTGAAGGAATTATTAATCCATGATAAAGAATGAATCAGGGGGGTATTTTAAAAACTGGTGCTTCGGGCAATTACAATTTGCACCACCCAGAATTAGTTATTCAACTTAAAACATAAGTCAGTAACAACTGACTTTAGATGGCTTCTGTAGTCCCTTGTAGTTTTTGCAGTCACTCCTCGCAAAATGCCGCCCCAGGCCATGGCCTACTTGGCCCTAAGGTAAATATGGCCCTGGAAGGAATTAACAAAATAAACAAACCAATATTTCCAGAATATAAGCTCCATTGCTGTTGTTAGGGTCTTCTCTATCAAGTTGGTTGATAGTGTAGACAATTCCTGAACTGCTATCAATGTCAAAGTGTTCTTCCCCACCGGAGATGATGCTGTATGATATTCTGTTATTGATACCTCTGTCGCCATCAATAGCACGAACTGTAATTCCATATTTCAGATGAAAAACAGAATTCAAAAAATTATGACAGAAATAATTAGGAATTAATACAATGCAGAGGTATATTAGAAGAGCCATTAAATATATTTACATCTGATAATACAATTAATATTTACAATTACTCCCATAGATATTTTTATGATTTTGTTGTTTTCATAAAATAAATTGTTACTTTTTTGCAATGCTCTTACAAAGAAAAATTAAGTTCATAAAATTATGTTTACATAAAACACTACTAATTTGTTTAGCCATCAAAGTTATATACTTTGTTTTGTCAAGGATGTGCCCAAGCGTGAGAGGTTAATGACTATATCACACGTTATAACAACTATTCCTAACTAAAGTTTACCTTGTAAAACCGATGTCCCCACAGGTGCATCTTCACTTATTCTTGTGACAGGACTCGCCACCACAAACTCAGGGGGCTGGTCTTCCTGATCCTTGACCTTCACCAATATCGCTGCAGTGCCAGTGTTCACTCGTCCTTTATTCGCTCGATCCACAGCTAACACTCGCAGTTGATACAACGATTTACGTTCGTAGTCCAAACTACTTAACAATCTGATCACTCCTTTACCATTAACGGTTTGCACGGAGAAGTTTTCTACATCTCCGTCGACTTCTTGTAAATGATACAGAACCTAGAATTGCAGAAGTAAAGGTAGAACCGAAAAAGTAAGACAAAATAACCCCGAGAGAGAACATCACAAATCAGCTGTTGTTTGTTTTGACTTTTTATTTTTTTTGTGGGAAAAGGACATTAATCTATTCTGCCTCATTAATTTGTGGAGTTTCTTGTCTGTGGCATTGTTATTGTCTTGTTTTGTGTGTTTAGTTCAAAGAGTAGAGTAAGTATACCAAAAAGTTTAGTTACACCGTAAGATTGTCCAATATAGACGTAATTAATAAAAGATCTTAATTTAAACAAAAAGCTATGATTACCTGCTTATATTTTAACTTTAACCTTAGGGCTGAATAAAATTACTGTGTCTACATTCCTAATACTTTTGTATTAACTTGGTATTTACCATGTATTATCGTAGGACCTAATCAAATAATATGTGTTAACGGTGCCAGATGGTATTTTTTGTAAGATCAATAGGTCTTATCAGATGATTACCTTCGTCCATGCGCACTGTCAAGAATTAAATAAGTATATAATTTATTAAAAAAAAAAATATATTATTATAGTAACTTTACTTGTCCATAGGCTCCTTCGTCTAGATCGGTCGCTTCTACAGTTGCTATTATGCCGGGTGCTGAGTTTTCTTTGACTGTGATTGCCGTAGGGTACGGTTTGAATATTGGTTCGTTGTCGTTAACGTCTTCGACTAACAACAAAAAGCTTTGCGTGACGAAGTTGCCTTCGCCCAAGTGTCCGTCAGTCAAAGTAAGGACAAAAGAGTATTCATCTCGGACCTAAAAAATAAAGTGCAATATTAATCGGCATCAAGTATTTTGTATTGATTATAAAAAAACGACATGAACGAGTAGCCAACTGAGGGACAGCACACCTCTATTTTTTATGTTTTAACCCCACCACGCCATGCGCTATTCTTGTGGTTCAACCTGATCAGATTTCATTCCCAGTCTGGCAACTTAGGAAAACTTTTCTATTTTTGAAGTAAAAACTTCTTAAACACCGTTGTGATTTGAGATTCGATGAATCGGAAGAAGAGTATTTGACACAGGATATGTATTCGTAATTTTGTCATTTAACTTATGAGACGAATAGCCAAACGGTAACGGTCCTGAGTTCGACAGCATCTGATCTGTGATTCGATCCTGAGATCAGTGTTTTTTTTTTAATTTGTTTCTTAAGCTGGAGCGTGCGATCGCATGTACATTTATGAAACTTGATATCTAAGTAATAAGGCTTATTTTTGTTTGCGAGAAATATAACTAAATTTAAATAGTATATTAATGTTTCATTTAATGTGATTAGTTTAATAGCGTCTTTAAACTTAACGCACATTTTCCATTTTTTCTTTTATTAAGCTACTAGCTGTGCCCCGCGGTGTTGCCCGCGGCTTATTAGGGATATTTTCCTGCAGTAAAACGTAGCCTATGTGTTAATCCAGCATGTCAGCTTACTCCATACCAAATTTTATTAAAATCGCTCCAGCCGTTTAGACGTGAAGAAGTAATAAACATACACACTCACAAACTTTCGCTTTTATATTTATTAGTGTGATTATTCATTTTTCGAAACAATTTAAGTAGTATAAAATATTTAATTTTGACCTAGAGAGTTGAATTTTAACACAGGTGTTGTCTATATGACATACCTAGTCATGAAGGACTTTTACGTGTTCACATTTTTGTAGGTTTCACTTCTATCGCACGTGAACAGCACATGCCCGTTTTTTTATTTAGGTCTTTGTGGTGCATTTGTCGTTTTTCATTTTCATCACAAAAGTGCTTTAGTCAGTGAATATCATGTTCTGATTCCGAGTATACTTACTCGGAATCAGAACATGATGTTGCAAAAATGTTCCTATATTATTTTACTTTTGTTTATCGGTAATAACTACGAAATAAAAATCGATAAAGAATAAATTTTCGACTTAGTAAAGATACAAATCAAAGTTACACATTAGATTAAACTGATTCCTTACCTCTCTATCTAATTCCTTAACTAAATAAATATTTGCTTCGTTGGATGAAATGGCTTCTATTCTTATAATATCACTACCCACTTGGTCTCTCAATCCGAATCTTAATGTGTCCCCATCGGGGTCAACACCTTTGAGTCGGTATATGAGACTGCCTGTAAAAATAAGTAGAAATAATTAAGAATGTTAATTACTGTTGGGTAGCTAATACATATACCTACTTGCTTTTACGAAATAATTCCGTTTTATCGATAATATAAATATACTAATGTTCAATTAAACTTGAGTATGTATTTTTTGTGAAATTTGGATTGCAGCGACCAATAAATTGTGGCCTATTCATGATCGAAGAATTGACATTCCTTATTTGGTATTATCATCAACTACTATCGTTATATCTGAATAAATTCTTCCTATTATCAGGATCGCGAGGTCATACTCGGCAGAGCTCAAAGTGCACCACCAACTTCTTTGTTTCTCTTTGTCGCTCTCATGTTTTCTCTCATCATTCTCAGTATGTGATGAGCTCAGTAAAAGTACTATGTCATTATCGTCATTAGGCTAAAATCGCTTTATTTTTTATAGGCATCATCCTTCAATTATAGCAAACAGCTGACTCGATGAGTAACAGTTACATGATACCGTGTAAATGATTACTGTCAGCAATATTACCCGGAACTTTAGGGCTTCCCCTTTGTAGCACACGCCAGTCGTCTTGGAAACCCCGTGGTTCACAATCCCCCTGCAACTGCGACCGACAATTTCCGGCAATCGGTACCGTTCTATGACTAACGCCTTTTTGAAACTTTAATGAACCGAAAGCTTGGTGCATTGTTTTGAACACTTCGGCTAATAGCTTATTCTTCGAAAGCCAAATTTAAGTTCCCTGTCTGTGAGCGTCAATCTAGCGCTTAACTCTAGACTGTATGTTACGCAACCTCACCGGGGTACTGATTAACTGCTGCATTTTGTTTTCAAGATAAAGAAGAAGTCATTCCACCATGCAAACACACGAATATTGAGATTAAGAAGTTGACTTGTCTATTTTTGTATAATATTATGTACGAATTGTACATGCATCAACGTGTGTCCCATGTACCAAAATGAGTTTAGGTCATGTTGCTTATGTTTTCAGGATGGTTGTGTTACTACTATCGATTTGTGCAGAATTGAAGTCACGGCGACTTCAATTCTGCACAAATCGATAGTAAGTTAATAAAAATGCTCATCTGATGATTTATTAAAAACATTATTTGAACGTGAGTACAAAGCAAGTTGACCTTAACAAATTTAGCTACCACGGAGCCTGCAAAGGATCCGAATCGTCAATAACAATAAAAAAAATCGCCCTTTATATTCATTTTACAAGTGTTTAATCACTCCTTATATTTTTATTTTAAACTATTTAACTTTTATAAATCTCAAGGAGACTTTACTAGAGAAATATCAATTAGTCCAGGCATCAGACGGGATTCGAACCCGCATCTTTAGCTATCCGGGCCGCACTAACCTCTTTTGTTTAAATATTTGCATATGACTTACCAACAGGCGTTTCTGGTCCCTCTTTCAGTCTCACCACTATTTCTGACTGGCCATCGATCAGAAAACGCGGCGGCCTGTTGGCTGTGACTGTTTGTAGACACCATGCTAGCAGCAAACACCATGCTAGTTTTAACCGGACCCTCGCCGGTTTGCCCGTCGCCGCTCGATTCATACTGGATTACCTACAGGGCAAGGCTGTTCATCTAGAGGCTATGCTTATTCGTGGACATTTATTAATATTTAGGTAGTTATACAAAGTTTTATTGCCAAACAACATCCTACCTTATCTTTAGGTTAGGTTAGGTTAGGGCAAGGCTGTTCATCTAGAGGCTATGCTTATTGGTGGACATTTATTAATATTTAGGTAGGTATACAAAGTTTTATTGCCAAACAACATCCTACCTTATCTTTAGGTTAGGTTAGGTTAGGGCAAGGCTGTTCATCTAGAGGCTATGCTTATTGGTGGACGTTTATTAATATTTAGGTAGGTATACAAAGTTTTACTGCCAAACTACATCCTATTTTACCTTTAAGTTACCAATTTATATATGTTTTAGGCATAAACTTAATATTTCGGTAGCATAATCAATTTTCTGTATTTTTGTAAGATCATTTAAATATATCCCCTCAAAAATAATTAAAATCTCAAATCGGTCGGGTGCTCCACGTTCCACTTCGAGTTGCACACGGGACTTAGTTTTTAAAGTGATGTACTTACTTAAAGATTATGTATTATTGATTACCTGAAACATTTGTGCCTGGTCCCTGGTTGAACGTGGCTCATCTTGTTTTCCCCCTACGTTATCTCCGCACGGATGACCGTGGGAACGGCGGGCGCGTGCTGTACCAGAGAAAGTGTCAACTCTTCAACGAGATCTAATCCTCTTTACGTGCCGATGTTTCACGGGTTCGCGGGCACCTGCGAAGAGAGAGACGGACAGGTATCAACTCATTGTTGTTTTGTTGGATTTGAAAGCGATTCGTCATTCATTTGTTACAATAACAGATCATTAATAGTTTCCATTCATCGGGTGTAAATTGTTTAAGCATTGTGTTTACAATGTGTATTTTGTACTATAAAATTAACTACATAAATAGAATCTTTTTCAAACCGTTAAAACTGATGACGATGGGGAACGATATCTTATCTTAAACGTAGTACCCAAATTTGATTTTTTAATACGCAACCAGACATGTGGTTGTCTTTTGTATTAGGTTAGTTTTTTGTAATCTCTGATAACAAAACAAAAGGTGCATGGAACACGCAAGTGCGGCCACCAAAGCAAATACGAAGTCAAAAGTCCTATTTGACTTTGTGCACAGTTTTTACGATGTTGGAACAAGGCGGCATAGTTTTGATAAAAACTTAATATTCACGTTACGTATTCACAATAAGATGTGTTGTAGTGTACTACTACGCGTGTGGCTTTGGTGGCACGCAATCTGCATACCGTACGTTCCATCAGCCTTTAGTTCTGTAATCTGAGTTTGCAGGTATTTATTTCAGGAACATACTATATGATCCTCAAAAAAATTGTAAATGATCACCAAAAAACACAGTTGCAAACAGATCCGTATTTGTATAGCCAACGTCAAAATTTCTATGGAAAGAAAGCAACCCCTACCGTACAACCTAATAATTACAAACTAACTTTTTCCATAGAAAATTTGACATGACGATACGAATACTTTATCGCTATTTGTTTGTGTTTGGGGTAAGGTTTAATAAATACTTTGCTGTTTTGTCTGTTTTTGGTTCAACAAAAGCTTTGGCATCCTTGGGCATGGAATCCTCAAAAAATAAATTATATAATTTTCGATCCGTTCCAATTGTTTGTAAAATCATGTCCTGGTTATCAGACTCAAAGTAGGTACTAAGTACTACATATTCATAAGAACTAGCGCGTGTAACTCGAGTCTATGTTAACTAGCGTACGTCTTTTGTCTTGCACTTGTCCCGCTGAGCACACACTAGGTTAATCTACATTTTCATTTACAAGGTAGTGAAAAATTGTTGTAAATTGCTTTACGATTTTATAATGACAATGGGCCTCAAATCTGGCATGATTCTTAAAATTTATAACATTATTTTATAACAGCCTTTCTGCCTATAAAGCATGTAATGGATATTACCGTTTCAAATTCAGGTTAAGTTTACAGAAATATGCCAGGATCTTGATCATTATCTGCGATTTTGGTTGACTTCATAGTAATCATTGTGTGGCATTTGAAATGTATGTGTCGTGAAGTATAACGATAAAATTTGGTGATTTTAATGTTACACGAATGCTTACAAGGTCGCCTCAAATTTAAGAGCTCCCAAGGGCGAGCTGAAATGTGGTTACAGAAGCAAAGTTCATCTCGATAAAATACTTTGATGTACGGAAGTTTACTCACAGCGAGGCGAAGTAACATCGTCTTCATCCGAACTACCTACCGAAATCTTCGCGAGGATACGACTACACATATAGCGACACTGCATATTCGGCTTACTGCGATGAGTTAAAAGCCCTTTCCGGAAATTAACACGCCTATAAATGATAGGCGTTTGCTATTTGCATTAGAACTTTGCAGCTTGCGAATTCGATATTCTCCTGTCATGCATCGGAGCGATAGGACTGGTGAGGGGCCACAGACTAAAGGTCTATAAGGAAAATGAAAAAATAAAAAACAGTATCGTTTAACTAACGTAAAAATTACAAAAAACCGTCTATATATGTAGTACTAATATTTATTTAACGAAGTATTTAACAGAAGGTAACGTAATCTGATAACATATTTATGTAAAATATTCACAATATCACCTACCTACTGTACTTTTTAGCAAATTCATGTAATCATAAAAAGGCATAACAAATTGATTGCAGTGATGTTGTAAGAATAGTAAAAAGCGCAATTTTCAATAAACTGTCAACCATGAACACCATCTAGCAAGTAGATAGAAAAACTAAAACCAATATCCAGCTTTTTGTACAATGTGAAAGTGATAATTTTCAGATACTTGCACAAAAACAAGTACTTACAAAATTATTGTTAGATAAAAATATTTCTATCGTCTGACACATTCAAAATAATAAACAAACAGAAACTAAACTATCGATATTTCAACTAGGTAGAACTATCGTGAGGTAAATATTCTGTATATAGCTAATGCAATTTCAAAAAATTATAATAAGGGTTAAATAAAACAATGTTTCAACAGTTTTCGATGCGTTTTTTAATACTTTTATACATATTATCCATTTATACTCTTGAGAACAGAGATATTCTGTATATTGTTAATTTTTTTCAGCAACTTTGCTCTATCGCCATACTATTTGTTTCCAACAATCAAACTGGTTGACTTGTAGAGAATGCCCATGGCATTAAGTCCGCCGTTTGCTTATGTTTGGCAATAAAGTTTAAATAAATAAAAATGTATGAAAGTATTAAAAAATACACTGAAAACCGTTGAATCCGTGTTTTATTAAATGATGGATGTGCGTGAAAACAATAGAAATAAACATTTACAATAAGAGATTAAATTTGTTACGAAAAGCTTAATTTATCTGATTGTAAGCTTATATTTTTATATTTTAAGCATTAAACTGCTAGATGTTTAAATCTAAAAACAATACTAGAAAAAATCTACGCGGACCAGGCAGCAGACGGGACTCGAACCCGCACCCTCAGCTATCCGGGCGGATGCATTGACCACTATGCTACCGCGGCCCTAATTGCCCATGTCTAATTTTCTATAGTATTCTTCTTCCTTCTGCGAAGTCTTCTTAGTCGTTAGTATTTTCTAGTAAGATTTTCTGCAACTTTGAACATCTAGTAGTTTAATGCTTAAAAAATAAAAATATAACCATAATTGCTATTTCTTCTTTCAAATGTTTAATACTTGTTAAGGTATTCACTTGACATTGCGAGTTACCTACAATGCGAAGAGATGCCTTGCAACCTTAGAAATACTAGAGAAAATTCGAAATGGACTATTAGGGCCGCGGTAGCATAATGGTTAGTGCATCCGCCCGGATAGCGGAGGGTGTAGGTTCGAGTCCCGCCTGCTGCCTAGTTCACATAGAATTTCTTTTAGTTAAATTTTCCTTAGATTGTAAGTTTATTTTTACACAAAGAAATTGTATAGGCAAGTAGGTTACTGTCCACAGATTTTACTGTGGTTACTTTCCTGCCAACTTTACATTGCAAGTGATATCCTGATGTAATTCAGAATTAACCTAAGAAAGATTAACCTTAAAATGAAGTGCTTATATTTACCTCATTACGACAAGAATGTCTAACAAAAATCTCATGAATTACAATATTATTACATGGACATTGCATTAGAGTTTGTAACAAAAAACGTGTGTGTTTAATGTAACGAGGTTCATTCACACGCATCATAACAACCAAAGCAGAACAATTGACAATTATGTAAAAACAAAAACAATTAGAAACGACCTCGCAACCCCGCCTCGCGCCGGATACGTGGCGTATGCAACCATACGTTGATTTCGGTAGAAAATATGATAGTATGATTATACCTTGTAACCAGGGCTACCACAGGATCTATTGCTGACTATTGTTTATTTTCATTAATAGCTAAAGGTATATAAGCGCCGCGCTCTATTTAACAGCAATCGATTGAATCCCAAAATTATCATTTCTGTTTGTAGAAACGATTTATGTATGGGTAATAGCTGAATAATTCCATTGAAAACGTATACGAGGTTTACGTTTTTAGAAATATCTTTGTTATCTTTGGAATAAAGATATTTCTATACTACTATAATTTAAATAATTACCATGGGCTTAAAAGATAACATTTCAAGAAAGTACCTATGTATTTTATTTCCATATTTCTCCCCCTTTTTCTTTTATTGTATCCATAACTATATTCGTTATTTATTATGCATTAATATTTTTACCTACATCAAAGATTTCGAACGAGTATAGAACAGTACAATTTCATAATATCGGTCAAAGCAAAATAAAATACTTATTCATTAATATAAGAACATCGCGCGTTGATATCTTTTACAGGTCTCAATAAAATCTTTGGACTGAATCTTACCTTAAATCGAGTTTGTTTGGCCTTAAACAGAAATAGTTTAATATAGTGTGAAGTAAAAATGGTTGACTTTCTACTGTACATCATCAATTTCACGCGGATAGCCCTACCGGTAGGGTTACCATATCTCAGATTTTGGCATGAGACATCAGGATTTTAGAATTTTCCATAAAATATGGGTAGTAGTAGTTTTATTTAATGAGTGATGTGCGTGAAAACCTAAGAAACAAATATTTTATTTTATGGGTAGTAGACTTTTAGATCTTTTCATACAGTGAGGGGCATACATTCATGCACAGACGCAGGCAGATATCATCCTCTCTCTAGGTTGGTACCTAAACTGAATGATATCTTTCGTACCACTGCATCTCTTATCTACTATGCAAATACTGAGTCGTGAGTGTGATCTTAGAGATCCCCAGTTCACAAAAACCGTAATTACAATTATATTTTTTTTTGTAGAGTTAGTAAATAAATATTATGAAAAAATTTCAATTTGCCACAAAATCTCAGGAGCCTTAAAAGGAAATCCAGCGTTTTCTTCGGATTCATAATTTTTCTAGCAGCCCTCGGCTTAGCTTAACTTTTTTAAGAATCCTTTAAGTAACTTATATTTTTCCGGAATTAAAAGTACAGTAAAACAACTATATGTGTGCCAAATTTAATTCAAATCATTTATGCGTAATTGAGTAGCAAACATACGAACTTTCACATTTATAAAATTAGTGCGATAGTAAAATTTAAATTTTATCGTCTGGTAACCCTAGCCGTGGCGGGCAGTAGCCACTGGTCGAGTAGAAACAAAGCGGGCAGATACCGAAACGGTGGCGAAGGCCAATGACTATTGTGTGACAGCTATCGGGGAC